CCTTGTAAATATACTGTTTCAGTGTTTTTAGGGTAAATAGTGCTTTTTTGCCTTGTGAACTACTGAGTCTGGTTTTGCTTCTGTGCAAGACTTCCTCTGTGCAAAAAACAAAACAAAACCCTGATAGGTTTAGTCATGAAGTTTACTGGATTCCTCTTAAACTGAATTGAGCTGGAGAAGGAGAGATGGCACAGAGAAAGGAAGGGAATGAGGGCAAGGGGTTCAGGAGCGAGTGAGAAGCTTTGTGGGTGACCTGGAAGGAGGTGATGAGGATGCCAGAGGGGGAAAAGCGAAGTCCCAGCTGAGCTTGTTGATTGTGTCTCTGGTGTCCTTGGGTAAATCTCATTCAGGGACGGTTTTAGTTGGGATCAAGTTGTCAGGCTTATGGGACACACTGAAGACAGAAACACAGTAAGGAATGTGGCAGAACGTAAGGAGAATAAGTTTGTAGTGGAGGAAGTGCGGTCACAGGACTTTCTGCAGAGGTGCTTGGAGGGCTTGTATGTAGGGAGTGAGCCTGGGTTGGTGGGATGGACTTTTCAGGGGAGAGTGAAGCAGCAGAAGGATTGTACAGATCAGCACAGGAGAAGGCAGGGCACAAGCTGAGACGGAGACATGAGCACAGATGGATTAGAAACCATGGAAAGGAATTGGGGGAAGGTCAAGCAGGTGAACCTGAAGGCATCAGCTGTGTATCTTGACAGAATGTTCCTGGTTTCCCTGTGGATAACGCATTACCTTGGACAGTTGGGAGACTGAAGAGGAGCAGCTCATTCATTTGGTTTGCAAAGGGTTAAAAGATTTTTTTTTAGCATTTGTGTTTAATAATTTCCTTTAATGGCAGATTTTCTTTTATTAGAGATGGAATCTGGCTGGGTTTAAAGGACACGCCTGTAAGCTGCGGATCACTTACAGGAAAGACCATAATGATTGATTGGCAGCTGTTACTCTCTCTATTTGTTAAGTCCCCTTAATATGCAGATTGACCCTGTGGGATTTTAATGCAACACATAAAAATGAGAGATGGTGAGGAGAAACCAGCTCGGTTCATAAAACATTCGGTTTTGTGCTCATGCTTGGCTTGAGGGCCAGCCCAACTTTCCTAAGCCTGCTCCAGCAAGAGGGGACAAGTCCACTGCCTCTCGGGCTTGGCTCTCGCTTGTGAATCTTCTGCATAAGGCAAGTGTTCACAGCAGAACTATTTGCTACCAGCCCTGTGCTTAGACAGCTGTTGAGAGACAGGAAATGGGGTCTGTCTTTTGAAATGAGCATGATTCAAAATGTAAATAAGGTCTGCGTCTACATTAAAACAAAACAAGTGCAGCCATCACACTTTGTTTCATTCATTCGGGCCCAAATAGCTCTTCCTGCTGCTTGAGTTAATGTCACTTGGAAAAGGTTTGGTGTCCTGTAAACCATGTCCTGGAGAGTGTGTGTGCGCGTGCACATGTGCATGCATGCAGTTTGCAACAGTGGCACTGAATTCTTGACGGCCGAAGTAAAGGGTCTTTCCCCAGTGTTGGGCTAGAGAGGACTGAGTTTGAATCCTGGCTCTGACACCAGCTTGCTGTGTGAACTCAGGCAAGCCAACTGACCTCCTCTGTGCCTCCGTAAGCTTTGAGAAACCCAAAGAGATCTTCAGCCGTGCTCCCGTCCTTTGATGCCATGCAAAGGGCCCTAAAGGCCCCATTTCTGGGTGTGGAGATTCCAGACAGCACCGGGAGGCTGCTCCAGCCCAGCTCAGACAGGTGCAAAGGTGGCTTAAAGATCCCTCAGCTTCCCACTTCCCCCCTCTGAGACACTGCACATAATCTCACCCCCCATGTGAGTGGGAACAGCGTTGGGTGCGTTCTATTTGTAGGCCGTAGCTGTTCACAAAGCTGGGTGTAACTGCTGCCCATGAGAGCAAAACTGGACTGCCCTAAGAGGTCTCTAACCCTGCTAATACTTAGCCTTGTTTCCCTCTCAATTCCCCTAGCTGGTGCAAATTATATGGCTCCCCAGCCTACTATTCTCATAGAACTTTTATTGTATCCCACCCCGTTGCTGCTTTTGTGTCCCAGTGGAGACTGTAGGAGTTTAAATTCACGAAGGGCCTTTCTTTCCTTTTGACAGGCTTGTGTGTGTTTTACAAGACAGCTGTTTGTGACACAGAAGCCAGCATGTCTGTAGCCTTTTGAAGGGTTTCCAGTAATGCTTCTTATTGTGTTCTCCGTTACCAAACAATCAAACCAAAGTGCTCCACTGAGCCCGTGTTGCTGAGTCAGTTTGCAAAGGGTAGCTAGCTTTGAAAAGGAAAAGCTTGCATACACTGACAGCTCACTACACCTTCGCGCGCCTGCTGTACCGTTGCTGGTTTTCTGAGGTGAAATCCCACAAAGGCAGGCATGAGATTGGGAGCAGCAGCTGGTACCATAGAGCTGAATTCCTCAATGCCTTTAAAAAGTAACCTTTTGAAAAGCATGGAAAGATTGGCCCTGGTAAGCTAGAGGCTCTTTGGACCAAGCTCTTTCCACTGTTTTAAACAGCGCTCACACACGAGTGCTCTGATACTGTGGCTATCAGCTTCAGACTCTCTTCTGCAGAGACCTGCTGTGCCTGCATTTCCTTAAGCTTTTCTGCTTTCTCTCTGCTGTAGATGGAGCGGGGAGGGTGTTCATCTGCCCTTCTGACTCCTGTACTGCAAATGCTGAACCGGGGAGCCCTGTTTTCCAGTCATTCGCTGACTTAATCTGCCACCATTGTTTTTAATTAAATAATTCTCTGCAGCCTGACTTGAGGGCAGTGCTCCTAAATACATTGTATGTGCATGCTCTTCAAAGCGTTACCTCTGTTCCTTTAAGCTGATCTCCCTATTGAAAGGAATAGCTCCTCTTTTAAGGGTAAGGCCTGCTTCACTTTGTGCTGGGCAAAGCCAAGGCTGGGGGCGCTCCTGCAGTGGTCAGTACTCTCCGCTGTCATGAGCGGGTATGTGGGGAGGGGGCTGGTAGTCTTCGTCATGCAGGACCAATAACTGCTGCCATGTCCTGTGTGAGGAAAACACTCTGGCCAGTGCCATGAGCTAGCCACCAGTCACTCGGCTCCCAGGTATTCATGCGTGGCAGCTGCTTAAAAGGTGTTTGGTGAATTTAGTTTTTAAAGGGATCATCCCAAAGATGAGTCAGCTCTGCCCTGGAGAAGTCTGCCTGTGCGTGTGCACTCACCGATACCCTACGGGCCCCAAAATATGCTGTAGACTAATGGGGGGGAGAGGGTTTTTGATACCCCCTCCCAGAGCGTACACTTGTAGGGTATTGCCGTACGCTACGGATGCGTTGAAGGGCTGAGTGCCATCAGCGCCTGTAACCTGTAATACGCCCCTGCGCTGAGCGACTCGCTACATTTACGTTTTGTGTTTAATTTTTTTAAATGGTGGTGCTATGCCACGTATGCTTCCACTGTGAAAATAGTTCCCCCTAAAGGATGAGAGAAGGAAGAGGCTCTAAATTATTTTTTAATTCTACTGCTTTGACTAGACTTTTCAGTCCCCCTTTCCCTTAATGTTCCCTGCACTGTGTGGACCCCTCTTGTCATGGGACACTGCATGGAATACTTTGTGACACTGCAGCCAAGATTTCTTTTATAAAAATGAACTCCACAATAGCCAAGACCTCGCAGTTCACCTTTAATCTGTGGCCAGCTCAGGAATGGGGAGGACATGTCTGCAGCTGAAGTTGGACTCTCTCCAGGTATATGTTGGTGTACAGCACCTAGCGTAATGGGGAACTGACTTTGATTGGGGCATTTAGGCACTATTGCAATACGGGTCAGTGGTGTTAACTGGATATGGACAGTCAAGTAGCTGTTATGGTATGGCTATTTCACTGATGGGGGCTACGCATCTGGTCTTACATCTGCATGGTGCAGATCTAACTGGATACTGACAGGCGTGTAGTCTCTGATCAGTGAAGGAAGCGCAGACTGCATGTGTTCTCATTCCCGCTTCACACCGAGATAATGAGCTTTGTAAAGCAGCAGCTAATGATGAAAGCCTCTGCACTGGAGAGGGGTGGGTTGCCTCTGTCTCCATGGAGACAGATGATAGATTACAGAGATACTGACCTTCCCTGGATCTCCAGCTCTCACTAAAATAAATTCAATTTATTCTCTCTGGCTCTCAAGGGAGCCTAGGCAGAGATGAGCATCATGCAGCGGTTCTGTTTATATGCAAAAGGGATTGTTTGTGCAGTGGGGAGATTTGAATGGCTAAACCATGATCAAAGGAATGGTTGATTAAAGCATCTACATAGGAAAGAGGAAGGTCCCTTATATCAGTGTCCCAAAATTTATTGGCTGCAAAGAGATACCATGGAACAGACTGAGTGAGAGAAAGGAGGGAGTAGCTACATTCATTCCTTAATTGCTTCAGCAAGCACACTGCACACTCCAGAATTAACCCATCAGTACACCTGGTGACTTGTTTCACTTCTGCCTAGGCTGTCTGCTTACGGCAGGTGGTGGGCGCCACGGTAGGTATGTGAAGCTGAGAAACCCACTGGAGGGGAAGCTGTCTGTGGAATTCTCCGTTCCTCGTGGGGGCATCCTGGGAGGGCACTAGAGAGCTACACCAAGGCTTTTGAGTGCCAGCTGCTACAGAATCTCACGGGTATTAGCCAGGGAGAGAGACCTTATGTAAATCCAATTGAAACCTGCAGATGTTGTCAGGTGGCTCCATGGGGTGAAGGGGTGAGAGATGAAGTGTGCTTAGTTAGTGCATTTTATTGTTCTGCCCCCCTGGTGGAGTCATTCCTGTGAAGCTTCATGCATATTCCCCTGGTCCAGAGCAAGAACAGGGGTTTTCTGCAGAGCGGCCTCCCTTTTTTCACCTGGGAGCAGAGTAGGAAGGGTGTGTGTATGGCGTGGAGGAAGGCGGCTATAACACACACAGTTCCTACTCCAGCAACTGATCCTGCTGCTGCTGCACTCTGCTCCCATGTCCGTCTCTCGTTCTGTTTCCACAGGGCAGTAACATAATGGAAGATCAGGACCTTCGGGAGATCGGGATTAGCGACCCGCAGCACCGCAGGAAACTTCTCCAGGCCGCACGTCCCCTTCCGAAGGTGACAATTGTATTAGTTGCTGCAGCACGGGTGGGGAGCGGGCTGGTGGAGCCAGGAACTCTCAAACTGCATGGCTGTGGTGTGGAGGGCCACAGTGCAGAAAATAAAGCATGTAACCTCAGCTGTCCATCTGTAGATACAGTCCTTGGCTATTTGGAAAGCTGCTCTCTGGGAAGTGCCATTGAGAAGAGGGCTTACGACTGCATCAATAGAGCATCCCACCCCAGAGAGGAGAATGGCTAGAGGGGGCCAGGACTTGGGTTTTAAGCTTGTGGAGAAGCAGGGGCTGCTTTTTCTGCTGAGCTGACTGGGCATGAATTGGTGCGTCTGGACTGCAAGGAGCCCCCAGAAGGATGTGGCTTACAGGGCTGAGTGCTGGCTCCAGGACACCAGGCTCCTGAGAACTGCAGCAGAGAATCCTGCGGGCTAGGCAGGCACGTCAGGGGGCACCACGCTTCACTGGGGGGACCTTTGCTTCTCTCGCTGGTCGCTGAGAGCTGCTCTCTGTGTTCATACGGTGCAAGAACAACACGGCTTGTGGAGAGCTTGCATTAAAGACTCAAGCGTAGTCCCCTAATGCTAGGGATGTACCAGGCATCGCCCCAGCAGGAAGTACTAGTCTGGTCACTGATATTCCAGAGATGGCTTTCTGAGCGTCCTGGTTTTGGGGTGCTGCCACTTGCAGCCGGAGCCCCAACCAGCAAATGTAGACAGGAGCATGATCAACTTCGCTCAGCTTTCGGCTCTTCCAAAGGTTTCTCCAGCAGCGTTGAAGTCTAATTGCTTGGGGATTTGTTATGGTCAGTGAAACCTAAGAAGGGTAACAGCTGCCCTCAGTTTTCCTGCCACCCTTCTCTCGCACACTCAGCAAGTGCCCGATATAACCTCATGTCAACACTTCCAGTTAGAGCCAGCAGTCCTGTGACCCAGCTTGAATTAGCACTAATACGCTAACATAGCGCAAGTGCTGAAACAAGGCAGTCTTCCTCTTGCACCTGATTTCTCAGGCCTCTGCCAGGGGCTGTGTTGCGAAATTGGATGCTACCTTATCTGTGCCAGCGGCGTGTAAGGAGGCTATTTCAGGCACTTGGAACAGAGTGTCATCTAGGCTGCGAGCCGCAGGGTGCCTCCCGCTAGTGCATAAATGAAATAAATGGCATGTGTTCAGTGGAGCGACCCTCCAGCTCCATTTGTCAGAAGAAAATATGCCCGAGAGTTGAAGGGAGAACTTAGCAGTCTTCTCTGACATGCTTTCTGGGGCACGGTCACAAAGGGGAGACGGACTTGGTCAGCTGCGAGATGGGTGTGATGTGAACCACCGTTGTAAATAGATGAGGACGTTCCCGCCTCTTCCACCAGCCAGTTCCCGTCTCCAGTTACTTTGGAGCAGGGTTTGGAATTGGCGCTGAAGCTGCTGGATCGTCACACTAGTCCCTTGTCATTGCTGTGAAGTGACTTCAGGAGTGGGCTCAGAGGGGGTTTGTCTAGTTGCTAGTGGAGAGTTGTCACATCATCAAACCACCAGCACTTTTGGCACTTCCTACTGCCTTTATGATGCTTTCAATAGCGATGCTGAGGGCTGAACGGGCCGTGGAGATGACACTCAGTTCTGCTGTGCACGTCCCAGTCAGGACTAACGTTTTTCAATGGGGAAGCCAGGAGAGGGCCTGCCCTTCGGCTGTCTATCACCTGATAATCGAGGGACTCCATCCTCCAGGGCTATTTAATACAGCCACTTCTCTGAGCATTAAATTGACCAACAAAAGATTTTTCTCCAAGCCTCTGGTATTGGGAACAGTCCCCTGGGTCTCCTTTTTCTGGCAGTCTTTTCCAAGTGTGCACATGTGCTGGATTGTGCCGCCCCCCTCCCTCTCCCCCGCGGCTGGACCCAGCTGCCCAATTACTTCTGAAGTGCACAGACCTTAAGGTCATCTTTGGCAGGAAAAATCAGCTTCTCAGGCTGGAGCCAGGGGTGGGACAGGAAAGCTGTGCTCTCGCGACTGTCCTGCTCCGCCCAAAGTACACAGCCAAATATGTAACTGACTGGCATTGGCGTTCGCTACATTCTAAAGACACTTACAACTTGAATATTGAACGTATTCCCCCTGGGCCGCTGTGCGGTTTTGTGCTTTAAAGGGTAAATGCAGAAGGGAGGGAATGCTATCCAGTGAGCACAGCTCGGGACTCGGAGTTGGGATTCCTGGATTCTTTCCCAATTTTCTCACTGTGCATCCTTGGGCATGTCTGTGAACCTTGGTGCCTTGCTTGTCCGCCTGTTAATGGGAGTAACGCTTACCTGGCCCCAGGGTTGAGATCTACTCGGGTCTTGCAAAATGCTTAGAGATCTTCATGTGGAAGTCACTGTACAAATCCCCCGTTATAATTCTTTAATTACATGGTGTTTAATTGCAGCCATTGTGGGTTTTGGAATCTGAGCTGTTTGGGATCCCCAGAGGCTTTTTAACCCTTTCTTCTCTTGCCCATTTTTAGGTGAAATCTCTGGGTTGCGATGGGAACAGCCAGCCTTCGGTTCCTGCTTGGCTTGACTCTTTGGGGCTGCAGGACTACATTCAGTCCTTCCTGTCGAGTGGCTACAGCTCTATTGATACTGTGAAAAATCTCTGGGAGCTTGAAATAGTAAATGTAGGTACTGGCTTTCCATTGCCTTTGCTATTAACCCTGCACAGGTTCCCTCCAGACGGGTACGACTTGCAGAGAGGTTTCTTCGACTCAGTGCAACAATGGTGCAGCACTCTTCGCCTACGAAGGTGCAAGGAGAATCAGTGCCAGTGTAGGACGATTCCGTGCCCCAGCACCTTCATTCCAAATCCCGATGGTGTGGCCCTCGGCACCAGAACTGTTGCTGTTTGAAGGGAACGAAACATGCCAACTCGGAGGCAGCAGGGTCACTCTTGTGAGCATGGTGTGCTGTCTCGTTGTGGAATAAACCGACCAATGGTTCCCACCAACTGGTGAGCTTGGGATTTAGAACAGCCCGGTTCCACCGGGAGGTGAAGTTGGCGTCGGTGAAAGGGAAGATATGAGTATGTCTTAACTCAGGGAGAGCCTGTGAATACGTAGAACCGTTCTTTGGTGTGACTGAGAGGGTACCCAAACAGTCCTTTGTGTTTGTCTAATTAAAACGTAACCTGTCCGCTCAGTGATTGTTCTTTAGGGTTTGCACCCTGCAAAAGTAAACAATGGTTATTTGTATGTGGTTGGGGTACTAGGCAGCATGATCTAGTGGCTTAAGTTTGGGGTTGAAAATCAACAGCTCTGCTCTGATCTCAACCGTGATGATAACTTGTGTGTAACTTCGGCTGCGTCAGTTATCCCATGTGTGCCTTGGTTTCCCCAGCTGTTACCTGGGGTTAATGCTGACCGATCTCACAAGGTGGTGCAGGGGGGCTGATGGATTAGGTCCTCTTTACGCAGCAGCTTTCCAATGAGGAGCTGTGTCTATGCGCTGAATTAGGGGGAGGAGTATATTTCATGCTGTACAAAATTTGTCTGCTTTGGGATGAAACTGACAACAAATGACACAAAGCTGTACAGCAGAGATGCTGAACAGTATCAGCAAACACAGTGACGAGGGGAGGCCTGGCAGTGGGGCAATTCCCAGTCTCAGTCAAAACCTGGCAGCTATTAGTTTGACTAGAAGAAGATACAAAACTGCACGACATGCTCAGGGGGATACCGAAATCGTTGCCCACCCTCCTTGAATTGAGCTAACTTTCCCCTTTGCCTGCAGGTGCTGAAGGTGAATCTGCTTGGCCATCGGAAGCGAATTATTGCCTCCTTGGCAGACAGACCGTATGAGGAGCCACCCCAGAAACCACCACGGTTCTCGCAGCTGAGGGTGAGTCATTGTTTGTGTTGCTGGCTGCCTGATTGATATGTCTGCATGGAGCACAATCTGTGGCTGCCAGGATGTTTTCTTCTGCGCCGGCTCGCCTTGGCTTGCCTCCCTTCTCCTCTCATCCCCCTCTTCCTTTTTAAGAAACTAAAATCAAGTCTGCCTCAGGAATCATCTCCTTTTTGATGAACAATAAACACCTCTGGGGATCTGAGACCAGGGGAATGTGTTCGCTGAGAGCTCAGGTGCTACAAAAGATTTCCAGATGGGAATCCGGGCACAGATGGAAAAGCGAGAATATACTTGTCCTTTCTCTCAGAGCCTCGTTCTCTCTTGAAAGCACTAGAAATTCTCCTAGGAGAGTCAGTTAAAAGGTGCCACAAAAATAACCTTCCTTTGTGTCAATATTTTATAAGTTAACTTGTTTGAAATATTTACTGTGGGTAGTAAATTTCCAGAGTGGTTTCAGAGACGTGCATCAATTTTTTAAAAAGTAGTTTTCGAACTTAGGCACTTTAACCTTCATTATAAAAAGCAAAATGCCTTGATGGGAACTTTGACCCACTGGAGATGTTCAGACAAGGGCTGGATGTTCCTTCTAGCTCTCAAATGTCAATTGAATTGCCCTTCTGAATTATTTTCCACTGGCTACTTTGGGGCAAAAATTCGACCTTGCGGTTGGGTGGTTGAGACAGCAGCATTTGTGTAAAGGGAGAGAGAGCATTTAAGATGAGCACTACTCCTCCAAGTGGGTGCATATTTGTTGTTTTGTTACTTGGAATGATACAGATCCAAACACTCCCACTCTGAACACACTGAGAACTTCAGATCTGGATCGTAGCCAGGCAGCTTAGCCCCACTGTGTCTGTTATCAGTCAAAGCACTGAGCCATGGCTCTAATTCCCGTTACTCTTTTGGCTGACTGTGTTTTCAGAAATATAAAAGCCTAGTGTGAAAAAACAACCTTCCTGGTACAGAACTGATCCCAAAGCTAGAGCACGGGGAGAGCATGTGGGAGCTGCAACTTGCATTCAGCTGCATGTGTTGATCTGAGATTCACGAACCACTCTCTTCCAACTCAGGCCCCACACACAGAAATGTTGCTATTGGTTTAGAGCACCCATTCCAGCTGATTTAGTGGTGATGTCAGGGTTTATGAGTTGGTCACTTCAGCTGCTCTTCCATTTGTGCGGTGAAGAACTGACCCTTAGGAGAAGTACGTGATTCCTATTCCCTTTTTCTCTGCCATGGAAAACAAACTACTGAAAATAATGTATACTTAATACCGGTCCTGCTCATGCCAAGTGCTGAGTGCCCTCCGCTCCTACTGCAGTCACTGGAAGCTGAAAATGCAAGGCAACTCTCAGGATCAGGCCCATAGTTTAAGAAGAAGGTTTAGGAGAAATCTGAAGAGCTGACTTGTTGGGCCAGTTGCCTTTCTCCATTCACTGAACCCCTGTGTCCAAGCAGAGTGCATAGCGCTGGGGCATGATCCTGCTGCTGAAGTAAGTGGGAGTTGAAGGCACTCAGCACCTAGCCAGTCAGGTCCCTTAATCGTTGGGTTTCCTGTGTATGTCAGGGAAAGTCCCAACAGGTGCAGTCTCTCGGCTCCGATGCCTACCTAGTAAGTTAAACTGTGACAAGGAGCATGTGGTGAGGGAAACGGCCCTTTATGGCCCCATCTGAGGATCACTTTTGTAGTCGGTCGATTGGTATATGCTGATTTCCTGCCACAGTATACTCTTAATGAAGCTACTTGTGTATGAGAACTGTCATAAACACCTGAATGATCTGCATCGCTCAACTGAGTTCGCGCCATTATGGCTTTCAGGCAGGATCCACATGTAGTTTTTACCATTGGGAACCCGATACCTGCCTCCTTGGTTTGTTTTGGGTTTCTCGGGGCTATAGGCCTGACTTTCAAAGGTGCTGGACGCTTGCATCTCCCAGCGACTTCTGGATGTTCAAGGAGTTACATGTGGTGGGCACTCTTGACAGTCAGGCTGTCTGCCCACTGGGCTAGCTTTGGGAGGGTATCTGTGCAGGTTCCTTTCCCATGGTAGAATTGCGACGCCCCCTGGAAGCACGTAACTGTTGTGGCCCAGCAGTGTCAGAGTAGCCTACACGTGAAATGAGTTTAGCGATTCTCAGCTTCTCACATACAGCTAGTTAAGGGATTAACAACTGGGGCGTGCACAACATCTTCAGTGTTGCAAATCAGAGATTCCCGCAGCACCCAGTGGGAATGACTGACAGATTGCCCTACCTTCAAAGCAAACCTTTTGCCATCCCTTCTGCCATCTTTCATGTTGAGCAGTGGGAATCACTCTTAAAGCCACTAGCATTGAGTCTCCACCATTGCTCTGTACCTCACGTCAGTTGGAGTCCTTCCTTTTGCCCTGAGTTTCAAGTACTGCAGAAAAATTGACAGCTTCTGATTAGGTTCAGGGCCTCAGCCCATTGGGCTGCAGAGCTGACTTGATCAATCTGGATTTACTGGGAACACAAGTTCTACATCCTGGAATACTTCACACGCTATGCTGTTCATGCAGGTTCCAAGCCTGAGACTGGCTGTAAGCAGGATTGTAGCCATTTGCATCGGGTTGAACTTCATTGCTTTTTAAGGTCTGAGAAATAAGTACAAGCTTGGAAGAGCTGATGGAGTTCAAACAGGAGCCCTGGTTAAGGCAAAGTTCGCAGCCAGTGCATTTTTAATCAGAAGCACCAGTACATCCGCAGCGTCAGCTCTGTCACTGGGACGCACTTCCCCTCCGTCCCACTTCCATGCAGTGTTTGTAGCAGTTAGTTCGAACAGCACTTCCAGATGAATGGCCCGTGCAGAGGTTGCTGCTCTGGGCTGCATTGCCTCTCTAAATGGCCTGACAAGTGCAGCAGAAGCCTGAGGGGGGCTTGTAGAAGTAGTGCCCCTCATATATGTGTGGCTGAGGAGGGCTGAGAGGAGCTAGAGCCCCCTTGTCCAAGGGGCACAGTCAGGAAAGTGCAGCAGTTCTGGCTTCTGACTGGGCTTTGGTGCCAGGTGTGTGCTTTCTAGACACACACGAGTTTTGGCCTTGGGGGTAGAGGGCTTGGCATGTTGGGTAGACTCGCAGTTTGTGCCTTCCCAAGGTGTCCATGGCAATACATGGCTGTGGGCACAAGCCCAGGACCTCACCGCTTTCTTGGAACACTTCTTCTAAACACCAAACAGGGAGGACTCCTGTGTCCTGGATCCTTTCTGCTCTGGGTCACTGGTTCTATTCCAGCCCAGGTTGGTGCCCTCTGATGGCTGTTAGGTCTGGGTGGAATTTGCTTGGGTCTCAGTCCAGTTCCTTGTGGAAAGCATCCATAGCGCAAAACCCTCCATCACATTTGGCAGTAGAGGGCCAGTGTTCTTAGGTCAAGAACTGAACATGAGGTTGAGTTCCCTCTCCTCGGACCCCTTCCCTCCCCCAGAGCTGGTTCCTTCAGCCTGGGGATGTAATGCCTGGCAGGGAGGAGGGGTGTAGCTCTGTCTTGTAATTTCAACCTGTACTTGGTTGGATACAGAGAGGACTCTGGTCCCCATGGCGCTGAATCCTGTACCTTCCACTAGCGTTGAATCACAGGCTTTGTAGATAGCAGATGCCCAGATGGAAAGCAGCCAGCTGAGAATCCAAGATTCTCTGAAACATTCTCTTGAGATGGACAGGACTGAAGGAATAGAAAGATGCGCCTTGGCAGAGTGTCAGCTGATTGAAATGCCGGGTAGGGAGGAGGTAGAAGAGAATGGGGCCATTTGTGACATTTCCTGATGCTACAGCTGTCGAGTTCCTAAAGCCTGATTCTGGCATTGCAGAACGGAAGGATGTCAATGGAAAATTAAGCAAGGATGTTGAATGGAACTAATGGGTGTTGCAGCTGTGAGCTCCCAAAAGCACCAGCTTGAGTTCCCTGCATTGTCTTCTGGACCCTGGATCGGCACGTACCAGGGTGACTCTCTCTTCCTTGCAATTATAGCCAGCCGTTGTAAGGCATTCGGATTGATCTCTTTCCACTATGCTTTCTAGGGCCTCAGTCTTTTTAGTGCTTTGACCCGAGGCTGATCCTGGCCAAAAGTCAGTCCACGGATGTCTAACCTCTAGTGAGAATAAACACGCAGTAAAGGTGGCAAAGTGCAGCAATGGGGGCCATGTTAGAACTTGAGATAGTCCTGGGGTAATTGTGGGGTGGCTGAGGAGAGAACCTGTCTGGAGATCTGATGCCTTTCGCAGAAGACAGCAAAGGAAATTGTTTTAGGGGAGAGTAGATCGGGCCAGAAGTCACAGGTTCCATTAACTCTAGGGTCTTGCACGCCCTTTGTGCAGGCATTGTCAAGGTAGGGTTTGCAGTGCCAGACTTCTCCCCTGGAAAGAAGGGGCTACCTTCATCCAAGCTGAATATCCTTTGTGGCTTTGGTCTGGAATTTGACTGGTTTGCACTTGCCTTTGAGCAAGCCACCCCTAGTCTCTGCACAGCACCCTGGACAGCTGCCAGAAGTTGGCCACCTTTTAGGCCATCCTTGACTTTAAATCAATAGTCTTAGCGGTGGCTGGGGAAGCGCCCTGCATACATAGGTGGGTTAATGAATTGTCTAGGGGTTTGGTATCAAAATCAATTAACTGCCCATTCCCACAGTATATGTCTGGTGTACCCCTAAAATGGCTGGACTCTGGCTTACAGCACCTGTGAGATTTCCCATGTTCCTTAGGGCAGGGCCAGGTCAGACCAATGCAGGTGACTTCTACAGGGAAGACCCTGTGTTTGCTGCCTCCGTTGTACTGCTTTTCCTCTTCCGAACCACAGGTAGCTTTAGAAGGGGGTTAGTCAAACCAGCAGCACTCCCAGCTCTGGCCTCCATGCTCTTCATTGGCAAAGTTGGTCCCAGGAGGAGAAGTGCTATTTAAAAACACAAAGCGACTGCTGTCACTAGCAGGCAGGGATTGTGGAATGTGCCTACTCTGGCCAGTTGTCTTTAGGTCTGTGTCTGTCTCTTCCTCCAGTGCCAGGATCTGATGTCCCAGACTTCCTCACTGCTGAGCCAGACTGACTCCTACACAGGGAGGTCTGCGGAGCTCTTGCTGCCTTTGGGGGATACTGGGAAGAGGCGACATGACAGTGGCCATGATGCTGCTTCTCACCCCAGAGCTGACAGATACAAAGCACAGGTCAGAGCGAGCTTGTTTCTTGTGGGTTCCTCTGCACAGGAGCCTGTGTACCTCCCCGGCGGTGTGGCTGGGAGACACAACTGTGTGCCCCAAACGGGGTTAGTGAAGCACTCTTAAGACTGCTAGATGAAGGGTGTTCAGAGTGCGAAGGGGACGCAGCTGGGTTCTATTCCTGGCTCTGAACTGACCTGCTCTGTGGCATTGAGCAAATCACTTCCCCTCTCTCAGCGTCATCTCCCATCTGTAAAGTGGGGACATGACCACTCCGTGCACGTAGGGCTTGCTTTTCCTGGGGTGCATTTTTCCTTGTGCTCTGGTGTCTGGGGGACCATGGGAGCTATTATGAAACAGCAGATGGCTGCGGGGGATGAGAACAGTGAGGCGCACGCTGGCTGTCCTACGCCTTCTGAAGAATTCCCCTAGTTGGTTGGTTGGTTGCTCTTGCTGGGCACTGAAAATCGAGCCTGAGCAGAGCAGGGAATGGCCACTGGGCCCTTCCACCTTCGTAAGCCACCATATCACTGTGCCTGTTTGAAGCACGTTGGTGTTGGTTAGACACTCTCCCCCGGGGCTTCCTGTCTCGCTTGCTGCGTGCGTCAGAACTAGATGTCTGGCTGGGTCCGCTGAGGCTTTTACGCTTGTGCTTGTCCCCTCAGGAGGAGCATCGTGAGTCCAGACTGACTCTCAGGCCCCCGAGTCTCGCTGCGCCGTATGCGCCTGTTCAGAATTGGCAGCACCAGCCTGAGAAGCTCATCTTCGAGTCCTGCGGGTACGAGGCCAACGTAAGTGGATTTCAGGGAAGCCTCTGGAGTTTGTGCTCAGTTCTCACCATGCAGGAAGGTTACGCTCACCCTCACTGGAGTTCTGCAGCCCCCTTTTCACCATGGCACTTGTAGTGAGGATCCTTTCTGCCAACCCGGTGGAGTGTGCACGCTCCTCCTGGGGGAGCCCTGGCTCAGTCACTGGTTTCCATCCCTGGGCTTAGCTAGGACTGCTGTGCAGAGCCCTGTGGTTAGTGCCTTGGAGGGAGCGGGCGCTAGCCATTAGTCTATAGCCGTGACTGGCTCTGGGAGGAGTCCAGACAAGTTGGCTGAGCTGGGAGGATGGGGACTACAACCAGAATACTGCTGGAGGGTGTAAAGAAGGGGAGTGAGACCTGCATGTGACCCTTCCACCTTCGAGGGGGTGGGGAAACGGATTTTTCAGCAGAGTTTGCTGTACGTTGCTTTGGGGGCAGGAGCGGCTTTTGAGGCTTCCAAGCTCAATGAAGCCAGTTAACTGCAGCATCCTTTCCTCTCCTTGTTTCCAATAGTATCTGGGCTCCATGTTAATCAAAGACCTGCGAGGGACGGAGTCGACGCAGGATGCCTGTGCAAAGATGAGGGTAGGTGGGTGGCGGCCTGGAGAAGCATGGATGGTGTTGAGTGTGAAGCTTGTGGTGACTGAGGTTGCACATGGAGTCTCCCTCTGTGCAGGGCTGAAGTGGCTGCTCAGGAGGAAGGCCGGCCCAGTGCATGGAAATGGTGCTGTTAGCACGGCTGGTGAAAGCCTTGGGGTGAAATGTTTGTTCCTCTCAGGCTGCATGTCACCAAATTGTCCCTCCCCCCCCTTCATATTTCAAACACTGAGAAAGAGGGGCCTTTGCTGCACATGGTGCACGGGGTACAGTGGTACCAAACTGGGCCCTTCTTCCGGTCTGGAGCACCATGCAAAAACTCACGCCGAGAGCTCCACACTCTCCTGTGACTGTCACTCTGCTGGCTACTCAGATCCCTCCCAGTAATACCCAAATGAGACCTGTGGAGTCCCACTGAAGGAGGAAGTGTTTAATTTGTACCTGTTCATCTGTGTGTTCTTATTTCTGCAGAAATCCACAGAGCATATGAAGAAGATCCCAACCATAATATTATCCATCACTTACAAAGGGGTGAAGTTCATAGATGCTTCTAACAAGGTACGCTTAGAATTCCCTCAGCTTAGTGGTCAGATGGGACAGCACACGCACCTTTCTCCTCACTCACCTGCTGTATGTGAGCTGTCCTATCCGCTGACTAGACAGCCACAAACAAGAGTACGCTCTGGCTAGCCCCGTGGAGCCAGCCTGGCCACAGGCAAATCAGCCTCCTGCATCAGTAGTCAGCAGCTCTGTTCTGCGTGTGGAATCCTTATTGCCAGTGGGGAAGGGGGAGGCAGAGAGAACCCAGCTGGATTTCCTGTTCCCCGGCACCACATGTCAGAGGCAGTGTTATCTGGTGATTGGAGGAGGGGATGGAGTCACACTGGGTTCTAGTCTCAGGCCTATCCCTGACGTGCTCCATTGACCTTGGACCAATATTTAATCTCTCTGCCTGGGTTTCCTTCTCTGTAAACTAAGATTAAGTCCAGCCTATCACATGGGGATGTTTTGAGGCACTAACTGTCCGTGCTGGACTCTGAAACACTCTGCTGTAGAAGAACACAGCATTACTGGTGCGGGAGGATCTAACCGTTTTCGCTAGCGCTCCCTGCTGGCTGACCACTTGTACGGCTGCACGGCCTGGGAATACTGCTTCCCCCTCTGAGTGGTGCTGTTACATATCTCATTAGACTAAGAATTGGTTTCTAGGACACAGACATTGCAATATGCCATATCCCTTTTTTCTGTGCCTTCTGGGGCTAGCTGTGAGCTACTCCCCGAGAAACCAAACTACCTTGCTAATTCCTCCCTTTGACTCTGACAAGATGTGGGACAAGGACTGGGGCAGCTAGGGCCTCTCTCACTGCCAGCGTCTCCCATCTGTCTGTTTGCCCTTCGTCTGCAATATGCTGCTCCGTTTGTCAAATATCTTCAAATCACTGTAGTAGTAACACATGGTGAAAACTCTGAGTTGATTTAAGAATGTCCCTGGGCGATGTGGTCCTGCTGTGGTGGGAAGCATCAACTGTTCCTGTGTCAACCTGTCTGTTAGAATGGAGAGAAGTAGAATAACCTTCCTACAAGCGCTAAGATCACTTGGAAAGGACAGTCAGGACCTCCCCTCAATTGTACCTGAATTCCCTTATCACGGCCTCTTATGTGCATTCAGCTAGGTGTTTTGCTGAGCTTGAACAGGGTGGCTGTTATTTCCTAGGAGGAGAGAGTGTGGGACAATCCAGCTGTCTGTATATCCCACAAAATTGGCTGCCTGTGTTTAACTCTGGTAGAATGTCATCGCCGAGCACGAAATCCGGAACATTTCCTGCGCGGCCCAGGACCCCGAGGATCTCTGCACGTTCGCCTATATCACCAAGGACCTGCAGACCAGCCACCACTACTGCCATGTCTTCAGCACCGTCGATGTGGTGAGTGGCACGTCTGCACGAAAGGGCTGTCGCCCTGCCTTGTGTCCCAAAGTGCTGCACAAGCCTTCCATACGCGGCAGACGCCTCTGGGAGTGGAGGGCACTGACCAGCTCGCTGCACAACAGGGGCAAGGGGGAATTTCCCCAAGAAACGAGGGCAAAGCCCTGCCATGGAACTGGGTTTGTCTCTCACGAGGAGGAAGGGCCAAATGGACACTGCTGGGATTTGAACCTGTGAATCCAAGGAGTGCTGTTCCAAACATGCCTAGAGCACTGAGCTGTCCCCGCCAGCTCTTGCCATATCCTTGTGCACTGGTAGATAATCCATGTATGATGCGTGTTCTGCTGCCAGAGATGACAGTGGAGGGTGTCATACTAAAGCTCTTCACAGAGAAATTGGAGAAGGAAAAAAAACCTCATCTCCTAGCCCATCCTTTGGGGCAAGATTGTTCCCTCCAGTGATTCTTCAGGGACTCAGGCCTTGTCTACACCAGGGTTCTCAAACTCGAATCACCACATGAGGACTAGTACATTGGCCCGAGGGCTGCATCACTGACCCCGGTCCCACCCCCTTCCTTCCATGAGGCTCTGCCCCACCTCTTCCCTGCCCCCATTTCAACCTCTTCCCCAAATCCTCGCCTCTGCCCCACCTCTTCCCCACTTCCTCCCCCGAGCGCATGGCTCCCCACTCCTCCCCTCTCCCTTCTGGAAAACGCTAAGCACTGCCAAATAGCTGTTTGGCGGCCGGAAGCGCCTCTAGGTAGGCAGAGGAGTGGGGATGCAGTGCGCTGGGGGAAGCGGGGAGAGGGGAGCCTGGCGGGCCACAGGAAATAACTCCGGGGGTGCGGGGAGCTTGGCAGGCCACGTGTTTGAGACCCCTGGTCTACACACACGTATTGCTTTAACTATACTAGTATAGCCCCTCGCGCGGCTGCAGCTACATGGGTATAAGGGTGCCTAATGCTGGTATTGCTTATTCCCTCTCCTGTACGGATATCAGCTGTCTCATATAAGAGTCTTTATGCCAGTGTAACTGCATCCTCGCTCGGGGGATTGTACCATAACTCTTTCAATAGAAAAGTCACCCCCTCTCGCCCCCCACCATAGGTGTAGTGACACAAACCTGTGTGTAGGCCATGCCTGGGTCTGTCCAGTTTAAATGACCCGGACAACTATTTTTTTTGCCACATACCTTGGAAGGCTTCCCCAGAGTCTGACAGTGGCCTTAAATGTGCTCTTTCCACCACTTCTCTACTGAGCATCTTACCAGGCACCTCCAGCAAATTCGCTCTGCCCAGTACATGCTGTGGCGTCAGATCCTATTAATGCAGCTAACCCTTCAATAAGCAATTGCAGCCGTGGAACACACAGGCGTATGGACGACAGCAAAAGGATTGTTACTTTCCGATTCACAGCATACTGCTGTTGCTGTCTCCTATTGTCTTGCTTGCCCTGTACACAGCAGTAATGTCCCATAACCCACATCAACCCCACTAACTCTCCCGTCATGTGTAAGTGGGACTGGTCGTTTACTAGTTGACTGCTGTGTGTAGCTTGTAATCTGCATTTCGGTCTGCCCCTGCAGAGCTGATGCGTGGCAAGTAGAGAGAGGTCAGCGTCTGCTGCATAATTTACTTCACACTGAGCCCCACCCAGGAGTGAAATGTATCATGCTAGCCCAGTAATAGAAAAATGTCTTTAAACATTTATTTGGCCTGCCTAATAAGGAAGTCACCGGTGGCGTATTTTAATTTGGAGTAACCGTGGTGCATTTCAGGTTCATTATATCTGTGTTCAGTGTTCTATTGCCCAGACTTAGATGGAAACCATTTAAAAAAAAATGCCAATCCCATTCTAGTGGTTCTCTGCCTGTTTCTGCACCAAAATATCCCTTTTTTCCCTTCACAGCTCTATTGACAATAAAAACATTTCCCTGGCTTCGTTATTGAAGTCTCCAGTGCAGACTAAAACGGAGAAGGGGTTTTTTCTCCCAGGGAATGTGCTGTGAACAAAACCCTGACATGTTCTCAATTACGTACTGTGTAATTGGCTGACTTAAGAGCCTTTTCACACGTGGTGCAGGGTGGAGCGCGTTAGCACATGGCTCATTTGTATTCTCAGGCATGTTCCCTGTATGACATGTTGGAGGCTTCTCCTTTCAGTGTGAAATACTGTTGAAAGGGAAATAATGGTCTTGGAGACAGTTCTGCGTGCCAGCGGGGGCAAACCTGTGGTATGCAGGCTCCAAAGGCTGCTCCGTGCCAACTCTGCAGGCATGCCTGGAGTCCGATGCCACCCATGGGGGAGACAGTCAGCTGATGGAGAATAGCTATTGCAACAGATCATACAGGGTTTGCAACTGTGGACCAAAGATGAATGGGGCCATCTGTGGAGGCCAAAGGCCCAACTCAGCCTCCAGTCAACGGCTGGCCTTCCTATGGATGGTGCTTGCTCTAGCCCCTTCTCTGTCACCAAGGGAAGCTTTCTATTTGCCACTAGTGTATGGATTTTCGTAGCTAGCGTAGTGTGGTGCTCTGAAATTGTTCTGTGTGGTTTCTCCAAAGAACCTGACATATGAAATCATCCTGACATTGGGACAAGCGTTTGAAGTCGCCTATCAGCTGGCCCTCCAAGCCCAAAAATCAAAACCTACTGGTGCTTCAACAGCGGAAATGATAGAAACGAAATCTTCCAAACCGGTGCCTAAACCCAGAGTCGGCATGAGGAAATCCGCGGTACGTAGGCTTGGGGCAGTTGGCTTCAGATTTGTGGCTTCTTGATTGTATTTTGCATGGTGTGATCGCAGTAGATGGAGTGGCACATCCCTCCCCCTCCCATGCAATACGCTTTCGATTTCCCTGTCTGCTTTTCTTCACAATAAGATGATGATGCGGGGGCGGGAACCCCAGCGTACACCAGGCTCCAGGTGCTTTATTCTGTAGTTCCGTGCTGAGTACACAACATGGCAGTAGAGGTTTTATGCCTGCTGGCTCCTTGCTTTCTCTCGAGGTCCCACTGGTAATAGCGCTAGCAATGGCGGGAGATTTACTTGGGGCTGAGGGGGCGAATTTAGTGTGGGCAATACCCCAGCCGTGCACATCCCAGAGAAGAACTGCCAATAGGGCTGGGCACCTAACTTGTATCCTGCAGCAGTGAGAGATCCATTAATGCAACCAGGAGATGAGGCCGGTTTGGAGCGTACTTGACAGGGTATTGGGGATGGTTGTTGCCTTCCTTTAATGTCACCTTTTTGTCTGTGTTTTGCTTGCTCCCTTTGCCCAGGTGCCGCTCCCTCCCGATAGTCGCTGTTGTTACTGTCACTCCTGTACTACACACCGTCCCTCCTACCTGCCGCTGCAGTCTGTTAGTCAAGGAGCTAAGGTCTCTACCCTTCGTGTTGTCTTGTGTTTTGTCATGAACAATCCTGAGCTTCCTTAGCTATGAGCAAGCGACCCAGCTCTCTTGAAAGCCTCCCTTCTGCTTTCCCATGTCTTTGCTGTGGCCCTGTCTCTTGCTTCGTTTTTTTGTGTGTTTCCTTCTTGCCCATTCTCTTGTTCCTCAGGTGCAGTCACAGATGAGTTCCAACGATGAGCTGATATTTATCTCCAGTGCTGAGAACTCACTGCCCCTTAGTACCCCGTCAAGGTTCCTTCCCCACTCTGAATGCTAGGGTACAGACGTGGGGACCTGCATGAAAACCTCCTAAGCTTACTTTTACCAGCTTAGGTTAAAACTTCCCCAAGATACAAACTATTTTACCCTTTGCCCTACCACCAAACGTCTAACCGGTATTATTATTATTAGGAAAGAGCCCGTTTGGAAACGTCTTTCCCCCCCAAAATCCTCCCTTACCTTTACAACCCTTTCCTGGGAAGGCTTGATAAAAATCCTCACCAATTTGCATAGGTGACCACAGACCCAAACCCTTGGATCTTAAGAACAATGAAAAAAGCATTCAGTTTCTTAAAAGAAGAATTTTAATAGAAGAAAAAGTAAAAAAGAATCACCTCTGTAAAATCAGGATGGAAAATACCTTAAAAGGTAATTAGATTAAAAACATAGAGAATCCCTCTAGGCAAAACCTTAAGTTACAAAAAGACACAAAAACAGGAATATCCATTCCATTCAGCACAGCTTATTTTCTCAGTCATTTAAACAAACAGAATCTAACGCATATCTAGCTAGATTACTTACTAAGTTCTAAGACTCCATTCCTGTTCTGTCCCCGGCAAAAGCATCACACAGACAGACCTAGACCCTTTGTTTCTCCCCCACTCCAGCTTTGAAAGTATCTTGTCTCCTCATTGGTCATTGTGGTCAGGTGCCAGCGAGGTTATCCTAGCTTCTTAACCCTTTACAGGTGAAAGGGTTTTTCCTCTGGCCAGGAGGGATTTTAAAGGGGTTTACCCTTCCCTTTATATTTGACACCCCCCCCCAAATCACAGATAAGGTGAAACGCTGGCTGGGATTTTTCTGCAGCTCTAGGAAAAAACAGAGTTAATAAGACACATGCACCTCTAAATATACTACCAAGTACATAAAGACTAAGAATATTTTCCACATCTCAAGGACGATTTTAACCAGTTGATTCTGGGAAACTTTCATGGGAGAGTGCATCAGCCACTTTGTTAGAAGCTCCTGAGATGTGTTGGATGTTGAAATCAAAATCTTGGAGAGCTAAACTCCACCGAATAAGTTTTTTGTTATTTCCAATGGTGGTATGAAGCCACTGTAGCACAGCATGGGCAGTTTGCAGGTGGAAACGCCGTCCCCAAACATATGGGTGTAGCTTTTCCAGAGCGTAGACAATGGCGTGACATTCTTTTTCGCTGACTGACCAGTTGCTTTGCCTCTCAGACAACTTTTTGCTGAGAAACACTACAGGGTGGAATTCTTGATCCGGTCCCTCCTGCATTAAAACTGCTCCCACACCACGCTCGGACGCATCGGTGGTTACTAGGAACGGTTTGTCAAAATCTGGGGCCCTTAGTACAGGGTCAGACATGAGTGTCACTTTAAGCTGGTTAAAGGCCTTCTGACACTCTTCGGTCCACTGAACGGCATTTGGCTGTTTCTTTTTGGTTAGGTCTGTCAGTGGGGTGGCAATTTGGCTGTACTGCGGTACAAATTACCTGTAATAACTGGCCAAGCCTAAGAAGGATTGAACCTGTTCCTTTGACCTTGGGACAGGCCACTTTTGGATAACATCCACTTTGCCCTGTAGGGGGTTGATCATTCCTTGACCCACCTGGTGTCCAAGGTAAGTCACTCTGTTTAGGCCGATTTGACACTTCTTAGCCTTAACAGTTAGTCCTGCCTCCCTTATGCACTCGAAGACTTTTTGTAGATGTTCCAGGTATTCTGCCCAGGAATCCAAAAACAGTAAGTAATCTAGCTAGATATGCGTTAAATTCTATTTGTTTAAATGGCTGAGAAAATAAGCTGTGCTAAATGGATATTCCTGTTTTTGTGTCTTTTTGTAACTTAAGGTTTTGCCTAGAGGGATTCTCTATGTTTTGAATCTAATTACCCTGTAAAGTATTTACCATCCTGATTTTACAGAGGTGATTCTTTTTTACTTTTTCTTCTATTAAAATTCTTCTTTTAAGAAACTGAATGCTTTTTTCATTGTTAAGATCCAAGGGTTTGGGTCTGTGGTCACCTATGCAAATTGGTGAGGATTTTTATCAAGCCTTCCCAGGAAAGGGGGTGTAAAGGTAAGGGAGGATTTTGGGGGGAAAGACGTTTCCAAACGGGCTCTTTCCTAATAATAATAATACCGGTTAGACGTTTGGTGGTAGCAGCGAAAGTCCAAGGGCAAAGGGTAAAATAATTTGTACCTTGGGGAAGTTTTAACCTAAGATGGTAAAAGTAAGCTTAGGAGGTTTTCATGCAGGTCCCCATGTCTGTACCCTAGCGTTGAGAGTGGGGAAGGAACCTTGACATGGTGGCAGAGGTGGGATTTTAAAGGTGTTTACCCTTCCCTTTATATTTGAGAGCCCCACTAACATAGAACATGCTGCTTCTGAGCCCGTTAACATCACTATCGCACTGGAAGATCAGGAGGCTGAGGGAAGGAAGAGCTGTCCTTTTGGCCAGGGGAGCAAATCAGATAAAAGGAGAAATCTACCTGCAGGAGCTGGGTCCCCACCGTGGAGGATCATCTGCTTTCCTGTTACTTTTGAAACTAGGCAGGCTGGCCCAGTCAATAAATATTTAGATGGGCCCCAAGCCACAAAGAACTCTTAGTGGATTGGCTCAGGGCCTGGGGTAGTATAGTACAGATGTTTCTGATTTTAGCCTGAAGACCTGGCCAAATCTGATCAGGGTTCCTTGCCAGTCTCAGTGTAGGAGCTGCTTCCCTCTGTTTTGTTTGTATGATTGTATGTTGGTAGCTTAGGGCTGTCCCTCATTCTCGCTGAATGCTCTTTGAATGTCTCCAGCTCTGGCCTGACTCTCTCCAGGTGAGCAAGTTGCTTATTGTACTCTTTCCCTCCACTATTTTCCAGCTGGAGCCATCTGAAGTGGACCAAGACTCCCAGTCTCATGCCAGTGTCTCCTGGGTTGTTGAACCCAAACAGGATTCTAAGAGGACCCTCAGCACTAAGTATGAGACCACTATCTTCTAAAAAAGCAACCCTGTGTCCACCTAGTCTAACCGTGCCTTTGCGATCTGATCTGTCTGCTGTTCTAAACTCCCTCTCCCTCCAGCTGCTGGCACTGAGCTCCACCTCTAGGGGCTACACCATCAGAGGCAGCAGCACTAGGATACTGTAGACTAAACAGCTTTTGTATCTGATCACTACTGAACACTGTGAATTCTCCTTACTCGGAAACAAGGGTAACATGCGGAGAGAATGACCTGTTAGATACTTGTGAGGTGGGAGATGCAGAGGGTTGGAAGCTGCGAGAGTCTGAGATGTGGATCCGGGAAGCCGCCTGCCATTTCACGTTTTTCCCCTTGCTGCGGCACTGAATCTCTGGGGGCGACATGACACTCCCTGGGCCTTTTTGTATTTAATGTTCTTATCCTTGGACTGCAGTAGACCTCTTGTCTCCGAGGTGCGCACACTCACTCGTTCTAGATTCTGTACTGAGCCACAGCTGTATACTGTTTCAGCGAACTGTTACCCCTCTTTTTACCTGTCATCTGAACCGACACTAACCAGAGTGATGCTGTCTGCAAATAACCCATTCACTAGATTTCCTCGCATGGATCTTGTGTGCAATCTCTTCCCCCCACCCCACCTCGAAGTTCAGAGTTGCAAACCTGATTGCACAGCTAACGTGAGAGCCGGTCTGGGCTGCTTACACAGCGGTTGCTCTCACTGTGCACATTGACCCTTCTTAGAGATCAGGGTTGGTATATATAGGAAACGCCTGGCAGCAGCTTCTCAGCTGCCCCACTGAAGTCATTGTGTGGGCTTCATCCTGTCTTGTCAGATTTGATGCAGGGCCCTTCTGTTCAAACCGACCAAACTGCTTGAGAGCTACCAGCTTGGTTCTCCCTTTTAGAACTATACATGGGTTAAGCTTTTAAAGGCACATGTGACTAATCCTGTACTGGGTGTGGGGCGGGGACTGGACTATTTGTTGTCTGGCCAAAGCAGACTGGGGAGCTGGGAACTTTGCTCTGTTCAGCAGGTTTCCTGCATGTTAACTTTGATCCCATTTCTCCCTTGGGCAGGAAGAAAGTACAAGTCTTCTGCAGATCACAAGGCTATTAAATGCTGTGCAATGACGGCTAGAGTGATCTTGAAACATCTGTCACTTCCCCATCCCTTGGCAATTACCCTTAGGGAGGGCCCTAGGTGCCTGGGTACCCTATGTGCAGACACCTCCCCCTTTCTGTTCACCTCATTTCCTTGTCTGCAAAGTTTTGAGCCCATGGTTGGCTAGATAGATCTGTCTACGGCTGCTACTTTAGTTCCTAAATGTGACTCAGACCCCTTACAACTGAAACCACAGAGCACGTGCTGCTGTGCAGGCCGAGCAGAGCTGGGACCTCGTTTGGAGGGTGGCCTCTGTGCCATAAAGCAGTTTGTTAGCCAGTGACCATGCGGATACAAATACGGTAGAGCCTCAGAGTTATGAACACCAGAATTAGAAACTGACCAGTCAACCCCACACCTCATTTGGAACCGGAAATATGCCATCAGGCAGCAGCAGCGACACACACACAAGTAAATGCAGTATAGTACTGTCTTAAACGTAAACTACTACAAAAATGAAGGGAAAGTTTAAAAACAATTGACAAGGTAAGGAAAGGTTTCACAGTAACAGCCGTGTTAGTCTGTATTCGCAAAAAGAAAAGGAGTACTTGTGGCACCTTAGAGACTAACCAATTTATTTGAGCATTGGTTAGTCTCTAAGGTAAGGAAACTGTTTCTATGCTTGTTTAATTTAAATTACGATGGTTAAAAGCAGCATTTTTCTTCTGCACTGTAAAGGTTCAAAGCGGAGTTAAGTCAGTGTTCAGCTGTAAATTTTTGAAAGAACAACCAGCATGTTTTGTTCAAAGTTCAACGTTTCAGCATTACGGACAATCTCCTTTCCTGAGGCATGTGTAACTCTGAGGTTCTGCTCTATTCTCCTGAGGTGCCCTGGTGAATTCCTGACTAGGCTGTGCTTATGGCCAGCCCTGATTAAAGTGGGCAAAATGTATAAGGCTCATTGATAGCATGAAACTGAGGAGGAAGGATGATCCAGTGATTAAACAGACTGGGGAGTCGGAACTCCTGGTTCTGTCACTGACTTGCTGTGTGACCACGTCCCTTAGCCTCAGTTTCCCCCTTTATCAAATGGGGATATCATCTCCCTCCCTCACAGAGGTGATGTGAGGCTTAATCAGTTTGCAAAGCAATTTGAGAGCCTCTAAGGAAAGGCACTATGTGACTAGCACGTAGTAGTCGTCCTATGACAACAACCCACTATGCTCCGCTTCACTCACTCTCCTGCCACATGAAATACCAGTCTCACAAGAAGGGAGGTTGCACCTTGGATTCTGACCTGTGTTCTAAAGTCAGACTGAAAACCACCTGCTCCTTTCTATGGGAGCACCTGGCTGTGTGGGACAGTAGGGGTTAGTACACCAGCCTTTCAGCTGTCACACTGGACAAAGATCACAAATGTGTCTGATCCTAGTCTAATTCCAAGCATACCAACATCATTTATTTTGCACCATTAGCAGAATCCACTCATAGGAGAATCAGCAGTGGGGGAGTTGCAGGTGCCAATCAAGGTGTGGTCGGAAGAGAGCTGTGAAGGAAGCTGGACAGCTACTACCCACACTATTCTTGCCTCTGCTTTGTGATGGTCCGTCATGAACAGTTTAAAACCCGCATCTTCTCCTCCCCAAATGTCCATCTCTAGACACACCCAGTGTGTCCATACTGGCTCTTGAATCTTAAGCAAACCCCATTTACTGATGCAACCTGGATTGTCCAGAACAGAAAGTAGGTCTATAAGAGTTTTCTTCAAATGTCATAATCTCTGCAGCAACCAACCACCCCAAATGTGGTAATTCAGCCTGGATCCTCACTTGTTGTGTATTAGAACCAATAAGGATCACTTTTTAGTGGGCTATTGATTTTGCATCAGTCTTTTCTTTCCCTTTCTCCCCTCCAGCCCAGTAATTATACTAGAATCTTGTGTTTCAGAATCTTTATCTAGCTCCTTCCTCGGAGCAAGTCTGACCTCCCAGTCCTCAGGGCCATGGCCTAACAAGGCAAACAGAGTTCAGAAATAACAACCTGGTTAGTAAGTATCCAAGTAAGGAGGGTAGGAAGATATTTTGTAAAGCACAAAGAATAAAAACCTCAGTCTTGTAGGTAGATTTAACATGTCATGCACCCCTGGCCCCCGTGGTAAGGGATTACAGATGCTTAGGCAAAAGAATCCTTAACTAGAGAAATACTACAGTGAATGCCCAAACACTGCAGTGTTCCTGTTACCTGTAGTGGTTTGGGCACTTGCTGTAGAATACGGCGGTATTTTTACGGGCTGCTGCGTATTGTTTGGCAAGCTGTGAACGGCGCCCTGAAACCTCTTTTCAGTCGTTCAGAGGAGATGTTCAATGAGGAATGCAAGTGGTGGTGTGCTTTTATGTCTAAGAGTTTATCATCAGTTACAGCTACCCACATACAGATCTGATTTTCGGAGGGGCTGAGCCCTTGCAACTACCAGTGTCTTCCGTGGGTTCTCAGCGCCCCTTTTTAAAAAAAAAAAAGGGTTAGTTGTGCATGTGCCTTTTTAATGCTGACCTCTGACCCTTGGTGGGATCCCAGCAGCCCTGTCTGAACAGAGGGCTTGTGCTGTGCACCTGTAGCTCTCACCAGTTTGTGGCTCTATTATTTCTCACTGCTTGGTCACACACCCCTCTGTCCCCTCCCTTCTCCCCCCCCGCCCCCCCAGCATTGGTTTGAACGTGACTCATGAAATTATTCATTGCATTTTTTCCTTTCTGTTAACGTTGTCCCCTGTTCTGTTTGCCTCTGGAAAGCTGATATGCAGGCAGCTGTGTGCTACCATGGAAATGTAGTAACGGGGCAGAGACCTAAGAAGCAGTGGTACCCCAACAGGATGAAGATCTCCACCCGGCACTGGTGTCTGCCTCTCTGAATATGTTCATGACTGCCGAGTAAGGGCTTCCACAATTGAGGGGGGAAAAGGGATCCCAGCAACCAGCTGACAAAAACAGCTACGCATTTCTAGCAAAGGAGATTTGAGACTTCTGAGCTCAAGGGAGTGATACCTTATTTTCTAGCCTGTTGCAACAAATGTTTTTTTTTTAAAGAGATTTTTTTTCTTTTTACATGCAATGATACGAAACAAAAGAAATCCACAACTTAAATGTAGCATGTTGCAATTTTTTGGGTTGGAACAACCCTTAGTAAATTAAGATTCCACGGTACTGTCCTGTCCTACAAAGAGTACGGTAAAAAGTCTTAGCAATGGCGGTAGTGTGTGTATGTCTAATGGTACTTTAATTCACCTCGGTTCTTGGTGAGCAGGAGAAAACAATTCCAAGATTTTGGCAATAGTTTTGTTCCAGATTCTGAAACTCAGCTGCATGGATTTTCATACACTTTTTTCTTTCAAGCCACTCCAAGCCTAAATGGGAGATGGATATAATTTAAGGAAAACTGTCTGCAAAGGGGTTACAATCCTAGTGATGATTGCTGGGTATCACCCATGGTACGAAGCCTGCTTTCACTAGAGAACTGTTGCATTGCAATACTTGATGTTTTGATGGTAAGGAGGACACAATTGGATTCCTTTCCATTAGTTTATCACACTGAATAACTGGAGAGTTTGCTCCTTTCTATACCTTCTCTTGCATCTGCCATGTTTTTTAAATGCAGTTATGTGCTACCGGGTTGGGTTTTTAAAGTCTGGTTGTGATTTAACACTTTGATACTAGCTCATGATTGAATTACCATTAGTGTAACAGTATTGCAGAATATGAACCAACAAGGAGTTGTATTCTGGGCATTACACTGAAACAGTCCATACCTGATGATAAATTCAATCAGTCTAAGGGTGGTTGGTCCCAAGCAGTCCCACATTCTTAAACAGAACACAATCTTGAAGGTGCTTTGTAATTACGCTTCATTTAAACTACCTGAGTATTTAATGGTGGCTTTGGCTGTGACAGTTGTGTGACCTGTTTTCCAGTGCCCTGACCATCAGGACCTTGTTGGAAGGAGAGATGGTAAAATGGGCATGACTTGGTTCTTGAGATGTAAAAACAGGGGACACCATGCCATTGCTTTGGTCTCAGGCAGGTGTGATGGTTTGGTGGTGCCCTGCTGCTTAGTAGAACTTTGTGTCCTAACTATTCGTTTTTAACTCCAGTTGCTGCTGTATCTGTCAGGATTTAATTTAGTCTCATTCCAGTTGATGGTGAGTGCTGAGAGAAACAAACAATCCCCAGGGCCTAGACCTGTCAATGATTAGTGAGCGGGAAAACAAGCTGTTTTTTAAAATGAGTGAATTTTAGGAAACTTAACATTCCTTCTTATGCCTATGTTGCAGTTCATACTGATGTAAGTGTAAATATTCGCTGTGTTAGCAACAAGTCTGTTCGCAGAGATTGAACCCCTGCTTTGGAGGAGGGATAGCTCTCTGTTGGATGCAGGAGCTTTGGAGGTTGGCTGGCAGTAAAAGTAGTGATGAAGACTCTAATCTTGCTGTTGTCTCCAGTGACTCAGCAACCCCCTTTGCTGTTCTCTTGCTAGGTGTTTGTTTTCTCCTTGACACAGAATACGTATTGCAGAGGAGCTGAGCTTTAGTAGCGTATGTTTTCAAGGTACTTGCCTGGTAGGGCTCTCCTCCTAGACCCCAGCCTATATTTTCAGGAGTTCAGGTGGCTCCCAATCTCTTAGTACTTTGCCATTTGTGCACTGTTCAGGCTCTTGTGTTCCTACAGGGATTCACAGTATCTGGAGGAAAGTGTCCTAAATTTTGGGTTCTGAATGTGATTAATTTTCAAAGTTCTGAGCTAGTTCTGTTACCAACCTGTGATCCACTTCCTTCCCTTTTTCAAAGGATAGACAGTATTCTAGAGCAATCGCCCTTTGTATTTGGTATGGGTCCAGGCTGAGAACTCTAGACAGACACTAATATTAATAGCTGAATTGTCTTCTTAAAATGAGGGTGCAGTCATTTAATGTATTCAGCTTCAAGCTGCTGTATCCTATTCTATTCTGTACCTGTTTAAAAAAAAAATGGTAATCTCGGCTGTTCAGTTTTGCCTTTAAATTTAGAAGAAAGTTGGTATTTGGATATCTGAGGCACCCCCCCATTCCCCTTGCAGAAAAAAGGTATTTGGGTGTGTTTCGAGGGGAAGCTGAGCTGGACCACTGCCCTTTGTGAGGCTGCTGCAATGTACAGAGCAGACACCAAATGGTATCCTTGAGCAACTCCATTTCTTGAGCTGTGAAACTGACCTGGACTCAGCTATATTAACACTCCCTCATTACAGAGTTCAGCTATCTGTCAGCAGGCATTTCTGTGGTTTCCCTTATGCTTACATCAGTTGAGTGCAGTAGGATTTCATTTTATAACAAGCTCTCCGTTTGCAACTCCATGCTCCTTTTTAGATCCTACATTGGCATATTTAGAGGTACCTGTACAACCAGAAGCCAATTTGATGTGCTTGAAATGAGAGAGCTAACTCAAATTTTTGTCTTGTGAAAAATAACCTGAGATTTCCCCAACATGGCAGAGAACAGTCAACTTCAGTTTGCAATGTAGACCTTTTTGCTAATTGTGATGTATGGCAGTGGGACTGATTTGTAATAAAAATGTTATTTAATCTGTCTCTGTATTTTGATACTTGAATTTTCTTTTATTTTCCTGTATATACAATTGTTAATCTGCTTGAATTTGTCTGAATTTTAAACATCTTGTGGTACCAAACATAACCAATCTGTGCAACAACATAGACTGACCTCACTACAACAAGGCGAGATTGTAAATATTTCTGGGCTTCCAGTGGTCGTTTTGTTGTTTTTCATAACTGTACAATTTAGAACAGACTGAATTAATAAATAAACTCAGACACTCACCTTTGCTTTGTTTACTGTGATGTAGATAGTGTGGAAGTCTTTAATTTTCATTTTTAAATTTTGAATTTGGTCAAGGAATAAGCAGTGGCTGGTGCCTGGAACCAAAATGGCTGTTCTTGCAGATGGATAAAATATTTCCCTTGTTTAACTAAAACAAGTTCAGTTTGCTGCTCCAGGCCAATGGGAGCTGCAATCAGCTGAGGCAGGTAAACAAACTGGCCCAGCCCTGCAGGGGAACAAGTTTGGGAACCACTGCCTTAGGGGATTAAAAACCTGAGCTAGTATAGATGGCACATATGAAGTAAGTCAGATTTTAAAGTTAACACTCAAGAGTATATCAGTTACATTAGAAACTAAGCTCTGTCATTTTTAACACAAAGGATCTTAAACCCCCTATCCTCAGCTGAGACTAATAGGTGTCTGGAAAGCAGGCTAAAACCACTTAATGCCCATGCAGGAAAAAATCAGGGTTCAAATTCACAGGATACATTACAATATTATGAAATCCATCTTGCCATATTTATTCAATGTTTCACTGCCCCTCCAAGTAATGAGACCAACTAATGGCAGGTATGGGAAAAAAGAGCAATTTTTGTTTTTTAGTTTAAAGGTTTATTCAGACAAATGGGGAATTGGCAGTTGGTATTTATGTAATTGTTGCCAGCTGCAGAAGTGCTTTGGATGCTGCTGCTGCCCCCCAGAACAGGACAGCTGTTTCCTTGGCTGCAACAGACTTCACAAGCCAAAGCATGATTCTGAAAACTGAGTCAACTGTCCCCAGTGCATGTGGTTCTTTCTGTGAGGCTTAGAAAGAATCTATTCCTGCTTCTGGCTCCAGGAGAACTTTTTTTAGAATTCCCAGGTAGTAGGGTCCATACACCTGCCTGTTGTGATGAATCATGCTGCCAAACCTGTGGCCAACTTCCAGCAGTTCTTCCTGAATTGGAGCAAGGCCTTTTGGGAGACTGCGAGAGTTCTGGGCACTCGGAGACAGATGAAGGCCGAGAAATGAATGAATCCGCTGCTCTGTCAGTACAAAAAGAGAGGGTGTGACAGGAGCAGTCAGTCACTAAGGGAAGAGTGAACACATGACAGTTTGAGACCCTATCAGCTCAGCGACAGCTCTGAAGAGAAATCATTCTAGTATAAAAAAATTCAAGTGTGTAGCAGATGTCAGAACGCAACATGGAATTTAAGATTGTGCTTAAATGCAATAACTGCAACAGCACTAATCAGTGGGGAAAGACTTCAGACTTAATTTGAAATATCTTGGTAATTTACATATTACCATGGGGGGCTAGTGGATAGAGCACTGAACTGAGACTCAGTTGCAGAGCCAGCAATTGAATGCAGGTCTCCTAAGTCACTGTGCCTCAGTTTCTCCATCTGTAAAAGAGGGATGACCCTGCTTTTGTAAAGTGCTTTGAGATGGGGTGTACTGGCATATAGAGTATTTCACTGCTTGATTGTTATTGTTTGACTTCTGGAGAAGGAGGGAGGATCTCAATCTAGGGCCATTAGGTACCCAACCTTGTGGCAGTCTGAGCAAAGAGGCCAAAGACTGACCTTCACACTCACATCTAGCATCAGGTGCACCTTGCATGGTGGTTGCCTATGCATGACCAGTCCTGGGAAAGGACTTCACTCTAAGGCCCAGCATAGATTATAGATAAAGATGTAGGGTGGCCTCATTTTTAAAGTAAAAAGCCAGCACATTAGGCATTTATTCAGGGACTCACCAATTACGCTCCGCACTGCATTGTCCTCCTCTGCAATGCTCCTTATCTGGCCTTTAAGGGAAGCAGATTTGTCATCTGTGAAAGCAGGGTAACCCAGTTGCAAGAGACACTCACTAACTTCCTGGTGCACATGATTGCTGATGTCCAGTAAAGCTTCTTGAAACCTAAATCACAGAGGCATGTTCTATATTCTTGAGCTGCTCCTCACCTTTGCTTTACAGCAGGGAGAGGGTCGAACAGCTAGGAAATTCCCTCCACAAACTTGTAGCCAGGATCATCATGATGGCAACATAAGGCAGGCAACCAGCCCTACTCATTTGGTGTCCCCTGAACTAAGCTGCCCTAGTGCTTGTTACTGTGATCAGAATGAGCAGTATCACCAATTCCCCATTAACTAGTGAGTCACCAGTTCTAGGGGATTAGTTCCCAGCTGGAAACTCCTCCCCCAGCCAGAAGCCCTGGCCCTTATTTGGATTTTAACTCTCCTCTGAGTTCCAGAGCAGATTCCTGCAGCTCTTCTCATTCCCAACCAGCACCTGTTTCCCTCTGGAAAAGATAATGGTAAAGCAACCAACCTTGTGTGAGGGAGCCCTTCCAAGAGGGCCTTTGTTACCCGTTTCAGCCTATCTACAAACCCAGGCGAGCTGAACAAGGCACTTCCACACACACTGCTGGACACCAGCAGGACTGCAGCTATGATTGTTAGCTGATTCACTTGCAACTGTACCTCCTGCAGCCGGGCTTTGTCCATCAACAGAGTCTGCAAAGAAAGATTAAATCCCCTTGTGAGCATGGGGAGAGCTGTGCTCACCAAGCAGGGGGCTTCTTAAGCTGGAGAATCGCAACTGCCCTTCCTTTTCTGTATAGATAAGGAGAGAGGTCTCCCCTATAGAGAAGGGTGTGAACCACTGATCAAACTGATCCCAGAAGCAGGAAAGGCCTTATGTTTTGCAGGAGAGGGGAAATAAGCCACAAGCTAGCAGCTTTCACTGCCAAAAAGGGATAGGGAATCCAGCAGAGAGCTATGGTCTCCCCTTGCAGTCCTGTTGCCTAGCCCAGAGACAAAGCCGGCTCCTGCTGTAGAGGTTGCATAGGATTCAGGGCCCAAGCACCTCTTTATTTTGCTTGTACTTTAGGCCAGTTCTAACTGCCATGTCAAAGGGGCAGAGCAGTCCTACCTCAGGGTAGTTCTCTGTGCCTGGCTCCCAGTGGAGTAGATTCATGTATCCCTGGTTTAACACAGACACGGGACTTGGTATAGCTGAGCTCCTGCTGCCAGCCCCCAGTGAAAGTGGAACAGGTGATCCATGGACCTCAGGATGGGATGGGGATGACAGAGAAGATGCAGAGACTTCTGCTGCTGCTTTGTGTAACCACTCAGTTGTATGATCCAGGCTGTCTGGAATAGGATTATGGAGAGAGGTTTGCAGGAAAAAAATCAGACTGAGCAAGTTGAATGGTGAAGGAACTGTTTTCACTCACTGTACTACACTACACTCTACTCTGAAGAGACAGTATGTCTCGTGCTGGCCCCTGGTACTTTAGAAGTGACTGACACCTGTTGAAGCTTCGGAGTCAGGCTCATTCTCATAGGACACAGCCATGTCATTGTCAGGACAGCGATGTTGGCCCAGTAGCAGTGGAACTGAAGAGAGGCATGTTCAGGGCTGGTCTCAGCCAAGTTTTATAATGTGCAGAGGGCTGGGAACTATTACAGCACATATGGTGAAACACCTCTAACAAAACCAGACCAGCTCTGCTGCAAGCCAGCAAATCTGGTACAGGGAGCAGTAAAATGTTGCTCTTTGTCTGGGATAGCTTGGCTTTGATTTAAGTATCCACAAAAACCTTCTAGAATGCTCTGCCAAGGGTGACTACAGGTCTGTTTAACATTTTGCCCTTTCTTCTGAGGCTCTCAAAGCCTTTTATACACTTTAATGAAATCTCACAACATCCCCTGCCATGGCTATTTTCTCTATTTTATGCAGGAAGAAACTGAAGTAGATTAAATATCTTGCTCTCTTTTACAAGGCAAGTCTGTGAGCAAGTTGGGACTAGAACCCTGGTGTCCTGACTTCTGGGTAGTGCTCTAACTACCAATCCATCCCCTAGTTAGAAGCACATCTCCTTAAATTAAACTTTGGCAGTTTTGTCTTTCCATCTTGTTACTAATACAAATTTGCATGGAAGACCTTAACAGGTCTGTTTCTATCTGCTGCTCCTGTTTACCCTGCACCTGAAGCTAGTATCTGCTACCAGCAGAATGTCTGCACCATTGGCTGATGTCAAACAGAAGACCAGTTTCAGGTGGGAAAGAAAGTAACTGGAGATGAACTAAGCAGCAGATAATCCTATTTGTGTACATTATTCCACAGTAGTAAAGAGAGGAAAAAAACCAATGTCCCATTAACAGAAATACTTGCTTTAAAATGAATGCTTAAAATTGTATGTGCACACTTTAAATGCGTGAGTAAGCTGTTAGGAAGACTGGTTTCTCCATCGGGCTGCTACAGCACAGCCATCTGACACAAGCCTCCCTACACCACACACTCCATGTGCCAAGAGACCCTTGCCAAGGATAAGTTCATGCTCTAAACCCACCAACCCTTGACTCCTCTGCTGAATCTGTCCCCTTGTGGGTGAGGTCTGTCTATCATGGAAAATGATATCCCTGCAGCCCCTTTCCCACCTGCTGTACTCTGGGAATATTAATGCACTTTGGACCTATGTTGCCCTGTGTTGGTGCTTAGTATTCTCAATCCTTCTATAAGTATTCTTGATGATGACCCAGCACACCCCTGCACCTTCTCTCTTCTTCCCCACACACTCACTGGGCAGCTTGGCAAGGAGCTCCTGGAATTTCTTCTGCTCATATTGGACAGAGTGATCCTGCAGGTGGGGCCGGAGGCTCTGGATGGTAAAATTCACCATGTCCATTTTCATCAGGTCTAGCACCCGGACAATCTCCCTGGGGTGAATAAGAGGACAAAAGGAAAAAAGTATCACTGCAAGTGGTTCACTGAAGTCAGATTGCCCCAGCTATCTAGAGGCAAGTTTCACCAATGTCGAGTTAGCCACAGAGACCCAGTCTTCAGTGCTGGGCATTCCAAGTGCAGGGGGAGTCAGTACTCACGTCCTGAACTCACTAGCAGCCCAATCCAGCCCCACACACTACCCAGTGGCTTCCTTTTCATGCAGCAGGGACTCTTTAAAAATCTGGTTTTTGTGCTGGGGAATGGTACCACATTGCATGCCCCCGAGACCATTTTACTTAGCCTCAGAACTAGTACAATAGGAGACGTGCAAGCTACTTCAGTGTTCCTCCATGCTGTCTCTACCCTGATCTAGAGACCACCAGAAGGGTCAGAAGAGACCATGACCTCCCACAACAGCTATGTTCCACCGAAACAATGAAATTATCCAGCAGTGGGATAGGCTTATGAGTACAGAAGACAGGACATGGAGCCAACCTATGGACTCATTACTGCAAGAAGAAAGATCAGTGGGCTCACTGCACAACTAAATGCAAAGTCCATTGCTGAGACTTAGGTTCTTCAGTCTCTCTCTCACACAGATAATTAGTCATTTCTCCTTCACAGCATGAAGGGAAAGAAACTACTACTTTTAAATAGCTGGGAGGCACTCGGATGATCTCGTGATAAGGCCATGTAAGAACCTAGATAAACAGAGAAATCAGGCACTGTAGTTCATTCCCTTCTGGTATGACTGTCATGGATGGGTTGGAGGGGTAGTGGTGTTATTCAGTGCCAGTTAGGATGGAAGTTTTTGTGAGAGGGACATATGTCCCCTACGAACCAGACTGAGCCTCAAGTTCATTTCACACTAGATTTTCCATTCCCCTGAACAATTTAATCCAATTTTCATTATTCAGAAACTCAAACTACCAGCAATGACAAGCTGAGGCTCAGTGTATCAGGAGTCCAGATGTGATATGATTATTGGGCAGGAGGCAGTAGATTTCCCTGCCACAACATATCACTGATTGAGGATATGCTGGTTTATGGGAGGCCCACCTGTGTCACCCACCTGAGCAGCTGAACTGGGTCTCTCACACCCTGTAGTCTCTGCACTTCCTCATCTCGGACAGGTGCACACAGCATCGCCATTGTACCTAGAATGTACGTGGTGAGATTGGGGATGTCCAGAGCCCCATGCTCAGCCTCCTGTCTGATCAGCTCCATATCCAGGGCTTCTTCAATCTGGTTCCGCAGTCGGCTGTGCCGTGGCAGCAACAGCGACAGTATGGTCTGCCCCAAGGAGAAAGTCAAAGAGAGAATAGTCTGTTTTTGTTCAAACCTAGGAACCCTGCAGCTCACCAGGAGCTGCACAGCAAGAATCAAAGGCTGGCCTTATAGGAATGAGGACTCAGGTCTAAGCACTACTAAGCACATTGAAACTTAGGGGCCCCCCCCTAGTAGCTATAAGGGAATGTTTGTTCCTAATTGCTCCCTTAAGGGGTGTACACAGAAGATGCTATAGGACCATATATCAGCCCCTAAATAATGTGTGGTCCCTATTCTTTCCTTTATAGCAGGGATAGTTTTTAGTGCCCTGCGGGATGGCTTTCTGGGAAGGCAGCTGCCTCTCAGGACTATAAAAGGGGAGAGGTATGGGCCAGGTTAGGCAAGTATGTTAGATGCTGCTGTGGGGCTCTGCAGATAGGTATGGCTGTTAGTTTTAAACACTTAGCTCCTGTTCTAATATGTTGTGTGCATTAAAGACAGATGCTTATATGACTAGCCTTGGAAAGGGATTTCTTCATACATAAACTTGAGGAGTTTATAGATAGTAAAGACTATATGCACAGCAGGGCACAGTCACTGTTGGCCTAGGGAGGATTTTCAGGCCAAGGCATTTTCTCACTTTACTTCGTATGTCTCTCTTTCAGCCTTCTTTATTTAAGAAGCCTTGTAACAACAAGTAAGGTTTTAATAAAATCAAACCCATCTAATTAATTTTTAATTCAGGAAGTATGTGTTCCGTCTACAATCCTATTAACAGACATCTTCTACCTTTCTTAGAGCCTAAATCTGCTGTACTGAAGAGAGGGTTTGGGTCCACTAAGAAGGAATGATGGGGTTCAGTTGCAAGTTTAAGGGAGAAGAGGTCGCCAAGTATTAAGGAATACAGCTATCCTTGGGGCAGGAACAGAGAATGTAAAAAAAGAGGAATACGTGATAGTTGTCCTACCACCTGTGAGCTAGCCTTCTGCTGTCTGGTGAAAACCAGTGGGTTCAATACTAACGAGACTGAAGCGGACCAAGACACTAGCCATCCTTAAGCAGATTGTGGATCGGCTCCTGCTCAAGAAACCACTGCATCAGTGTAGCACAGAGATTTAAGTAATATCTATGATCAATTATGTCCATACTGATTCTTACACCTGAAAGGTATGAGAACCCGTGGAGCCATGTAGTTGATTTGTGTGTGGGACCCTGAGTCCAGGGGACAGTCTTACAGACAGGATCTAGAAGGTTGGGCCTAGTATTTACTCTTCCTCGCTGTGAATTCCACTCTCTCATGCTTCGGGTCTAATGTGTGGCCGCAAGGCAAGGCAAGGCTTAGATGTACATCACTAACAGAGGCCTAGCTCTAAGCTGGCTGTCCTATCTCACGAACTGCTCACCTCTTTAATTTCCCGTAGCAGTTGGATCACATGCGTGTAGTCTGGTGGACTAGTAGAGAGCTGTTCTTTTAGACTGTCCCAGAAAGCTTTGTGCAATGTCTTCTTCACTCGGCTTTCCAAGCTGAGTGGGGAGGGGGAACAAACTATTATTAACATTCTGCCATCTCACACCTATCATTATGGAGGGGCCATGCCCCCACTTGGACTTCTCTGCATTTGCTTTGAACTTTTATTCTCATGTTGGAAGCAACATGCCTCACCACTCTCCCTCCTATGGGAACCTCTGTCAACCTACATTCCATAGTTCTCCCAAATATGGTTCCTACCCAGCCATCTCTTTTCACCAAAACCAAACATACTTTGGCCTTGTCTACACTGGGGTTGGTGTGTAAGGTATGTGTAGCTACACACCACAGTGGAAAGCAGGCTATGTCCATACTGTTCCATAGCTGCATGTGCCAATAAAAGGCTGAGGTAGCAGGGAAAAGTTCTGGCAAGGAGGAGCTGCCAGAGTCTTTCCCTGCAGAAGGGAAAGGCTCCAGCAACAGGACACTGAGCAGCACTGTCTCACTGTGCACAGAGCCATGTAGGTAGGGTACATAACTAGGGCCCTACCAATTTCACAGCCATGAAAAACACATCACAGACAGTGAAATAAACCCTACTCTGTGAAATCTGATCTCCCCCTGCTGCTAAGAGCACCCCAGTGAGGGGGCTCCTAGCTCCCGCTGGGCTGGGGAGGAGAAAGACTTCCATCCCCTACACAGCTGCTCTTGGGTGGAGTTCAGACCCACCTCCACCTCTGGAAACCTCCTGCGGCTGCAGAAAGCTCCACAGTTGCTGCCTTCAGAGTCCAGCTCTGAAAGCAGCACAGAAGTGTGGGTTGCAATCCCATGATCCTCCCAAAACAGGTTTGTGATGACCCCCCACCCTTCCCTTCAAAAAATACCCTTTTGGGTTGGGACCCACACAGTTATAACACTGAAATTTCAGATTTAAACATCTGAAAAGGTGAAATTTACCAATTTTCAAATCCTATATCTGTGAAATTAACCATAATGAAATGTGAATTTAGTAGGGCCTAAGAACTCAGGCATGTATTTACTCATCTAAGCAGCACTTCACCCTCTACACTGCTATTTATACCCATGCTAGCTGTGCATGCAGTGTGTGTACTCTACACATGTATGTAAGTGTAGACAAATCTTAGTCTTACTTTTCTACCACTTAGCAATAGTTCAGAGGCAGCCCACCCTGCTTCAGAAGAATGTGATGTTTAGCCAACCTGCAATAGATGCAGATAACTCCCTTCAGATCCCCCAACCACTACTCTTATCCTCAGAGAAGATCGACAAGACCATATAATATTCGCAAGATACCTTTCTACAGAGCCTCTTTTTGTACAGCACCAGGAAGGATTAAGGTTAAGGCATTCAGATAGGACTCAGGAAGTTTGCAGCTACAATGCAGATTGCTGACAGAAGATCTTTGCTAAAGATTTTACATCTCTGTTACTTTGATTAATACTTAAGAAAAGGTCACTGTCTACACCTCTGAAATCTCTGAGTGCTCCATTAAATTCAAAGATGACCAGACTTGGCATTCATCATAGTTCCAAGGGAAAAATAAACTTGAAAAAAACATGTCATATAGCACCAGTCCCCCACCCCTGCCCCCAAAACCCACTTTCTTTTCCTTTGTAGTTTCCACATACTTTCAACAGCCATATCCCTCCAAATCCTCCCCTCCCAGCCACATAATCTGCAACCTCAGGTAAGAGGAAAAAACAAAGAGGAGTGTAGCAAACCTGTTTGGTGAGAAGTTGACCTCTTGCAATCTGAAGTCACGGTTCACCACAATCTCATGTGCAATGGTCATTCTGGAAACCTCTTGTGCTGTTTCTAGTAGTTCTGCCATGGAAAGAACTTGTGGAGGGCTGGCTGCAGAAAGGAAATTAATGAGACCTAGTTCTTTATCATGATCAACTACAGTCTTAGATGGAACATTTAATAAATCTAAAAGGCTTTAGAAAATTTAATATGGAAATGTAAAATGAATGAAAACCTGTGTATGTAGGATGAGGTTAAAACATTCCCCTCAGAATATGAGAAACAACATTATGCTCCCAGCTGAAGAAGAAATGCTGACCCCGACAAAAGTAAAACTGATCACTTTGGTTTCTGTGTCTAAACAATGGAAGATTAAATTCCATTAATGGTCAAAAGCAAGAGCCCAATCCTCTCCCAGTGAAATCATTAGCTAAACTTCCATTCGCTTCAATGGAAGCAAGTTTGGGTCTCAAAATCAATTTAAAATATGAATCTGTGGTTACTGGTAACACCAATATATGAAATAATTGTTCAAATTAAAATGGTCTTCAAAAGCAATGTAAGACTGCTCATTGAATGAGCTGAATAAAAATGGATTGTATAAAAGACTTATCAGTTCATACTTGGTTCTATTACTTTTGACATGTTCTCATACCTAGGCTTTAACCTCTTAATGATCTCCAGAATAATTATGCAACTACTTAATGTCTCTCTACCTTGTTCTGTTTTTAAAGTGAACAGTGAAATGAGTACAAGTCTTATAAGTTATTTTAATAGCATCCTTTCCAGTGTAAAGATACCAGGAAGACGTATTCGGAAGAAGAATTTCACATTTTTACCATTTTAAGACTAAATAAGTTAGGTAAAAAGAAATTAGCTCTCTTCCTCTCAAGTATTTGCAATATAGACCTCCCAACGCATGACAGATGCATTTTTCAGACAGAGTGAGACTCAAAGAAGCTAAGTGCCTGAACACAAACACAGAGTCAGTGGCAGAGCTGGAAATAAAACTCATGTCTCCTGACTCCCTAGGTATGTGTAATCTCCTAGACATGTTTGGAAATATTAGCTGACCAACTACTGATTTTATACTGCAACAATCATTTCAGAATCTCATGAAAATCATCAGTTGTGGGACTATTATCTATGTTTTCTACATTCTGGAGCAACAGGAAAAATTACAGGTGAAACTTACTAATTAAGTTAGGGGAGAGAAGTGGGGTGAAAATATGGTGCCATATGGCCTAGCTTAATAGCCATAAAGTGGGAGAACAATTTACAAGTTGCAGAGGACACCAAAGTCAGTACAGAATAGGAATGAGACAGCAGAGAGTCACATGTTGGAATTATAGATTCTAACAGTGCTATAGGCTTGCCTTCATATCCTCCTCTTGGGTGACTCACCCTCTTGTTATTTTTGAAACCTTAGCCCCCATTCTGCAGTCTGATCTGTGTATGTAGACCACTTAAGCCTGAAATCAATAGGGCTCTGCAAAGGCACAAGGGTCTGCCTCTGTGGAACAGATTCAAGAGAGTGGTTTAGGATTGTAAGCACTTTGGGATAGGAAGGATTTATTATATGTCTGTACAGGGTGCTTAGCTCCATACCCTCCCCTTAATCTGGTTGCGGTCTCTAGGGCTATGATACTACAAATCAGGACTAATTAGTGGAGTTAATTAATCTTGTAACTATTTTACGTGCCAAGGAAACCCAGAGTTTGAAAAAGATGCACATTTATGCTATAGTTTAAGTCTAAAATAATGAGAGAACTTAGAGATAACTAGATAACCCATGCCAATGAAGCCTGTATCTGATATACTTTCATTATGGAAGCATCTATCATCCATATACTGGATAACATCATTTATGTGTGTGAGTGGAAATAACTTAGCCTAGAAAGTTCTTGACCAGCAAGTGGAAAAATGGATCAGGACACTAGCAGTTATATATGAAAGATCAATACAGGATAATTTAGAAAGCTGGGTGTAGAGAACCTTCCTCAGCAAGGCAGAGAAACAGAACAATTGCTAAATGAGTTTGAATTGATTATCCCACACCAAAGCAAGATGAAGGAAATAGTATATACCATAACAGGTGTAGAAGAGGGTATGGTAAAATGACATGTCCCCTCTCTGAACAGATTACAATCTAAATTAGAGAAGAGGGTTGTGTGAAGAAGGGATAATAGCACGTTGTATGTTATGGAATGTCAGTCATATAAAGCCCAGTCCTGCAAAGAATCATATATATATTTGCATTCTTACTGGCCTGAGTAAGACAGTGGGACTATACCTGCGTATGAAGTCCCTAGCTAGCTTAAATCTTTGTTGGATAAAAACTACTAAAGACCCCTGTGCTACAGGAAGGGAACATTTGAATTTTTTTTCTGATTTTAGTTCCACTGAACTGTGTAACGGAATTTACTGATCTTTTAGACAGGTGGAATTCTTAAGCTGCACCACTGTTTATCTAAGTTGATGCATATACAGAAAATGATGTATAAGCTTTCCCGAAGTTACAATTCAACTCATGTGAGAAAGAATTCAAACTGTGAATTGACTAAAACCCAGATTCATAGTTTTGAATCTTTCCTTACCCCTCTTTCCTTTCATACCAGATAAATCCACCTCTTTTTGTATCATGTGAAATAAGAGCGACATCTAGTGACCATTGAAAAACATCACCTGTCATTTATTGAAAGCTGTACAAGACAGAGGATGTTATCCCGGCCCCAGAGTTCACAGTTCAGACACACTACAATTGAGAGTCACAGCGCAGTAAAGATTGTACTGAATTTTGACTAACTTAAAAAAAAAAAATCACTTCATGGCAGAAAATGAAAGAGGTTTAGTAGAAACATGCTTTAAAGAAGCCTCTGAAGGAACAGATAAGGCACTTTAGGGCATGAAGTGAGAGGAATATTTGGTACAGCTGATGGGAAGTGTAAGACTTTGATCTGGGGTGATCTTTGCAAAAAATTGCGATGTCTATTCTTCAACAAGGTTAATAGTGGGATGGGATGTGGAGCCTAGGATTCCACGTCACCCAGTTAAGAACATTAGCAGAACAGTTAAAGATGTGTACGTTTTCTGCCCCGTAGCACCACTTCAGCACATTACAGTACTGTGCATGATGCCCAGTCATAACATTATTAAACACAGAAAAAGAGCCACTGCAGAATTTAGTCTAAAAACAGGTCAGCAATGGTTCAAGCTGCCAAGAGCAGTTGTATAGCCTCCACATCTGAGGCAGAGACTGGACATCTCTCAACCCTGGTTTAGTAAAAATCAACCCTGCCTGGAAGCAGTGGGATGGCATGAGCCCACTACAGGTCCCTTGCAAACCCAAGGGCTCTCTTTCAAAGCTCTCCGCAAATCCCCGTCATCCCTGGTTAAACCACTGTTTGCACTGAACCGTGGGAGGACGGTAGAGACCAGACTTTTCTAGCATAACCGGAGGCGGACGTACACACTGGCAGCCGTGGTGGGCAGAGGCTGGGCACATCCCCATCATGGCTCTCCTGGGCCTGCCTCGCTCTCCTGGGCCTACAGGGCATGCTCTCTGGGTCACTGCAGTCACTGGGGGGTGCCTTCTCTCCGGGGTTAGGCATCTTGTTCCTCCTGCAGGTCGGGAGGAGACAGAGGGTTAGAAAGGCCGGGAGCAGAGGCGGCGTCAACCCAGGCCCCACAGGCCCAAGCCGGCCACGCTTCTAGTCAAGGGAGGGGGCCGTGAAATGAATCAGGCTGGGCCCGCAGGGGGGAGCCAGGCCCAGGGGGGGAGCCGGGGCACGAGGCGGGGGTAGGGGGGAGACGGGGCGGCGGCGGGAGAAAGACACCGAGGCAGGTGGGGGGCGGGGGGAGCCGTTCAACGGCCCCGGGCCTCAGCGGGGGCCAGCGAGGGGTGGAGAAGCGGCCCCTCACCTTCCCCGGAGGGTCTGGCCGGTGGTGAAGGGCCGGGGCCGGGGCCGGTCGGTGGTGAAGGGCGGCCAGGGCCAGGCCCGGGCCGGTCGGTGGTGAAGGGCCAGGGGGCTTCCCGGCCGCTCTCGAGCCCCCTCACGGAACCACTGCTGCCGTTGCTTCAGTGAGCGCCCGCTCCCAGCTTCAAACTGGGCCGAACCAACTGCCAGCGCGTGAGGGGGGGGGGGAAAGAGGCTCTACCTCTGTACACCCGTGGGGGCTGCAGACGGTTCTCAGGGAGACTCCTCCCCGTCAGAGCGCCGACAAAACCTAAGCCACCGTGCTCTACTGCTTTGGGATCCCTCTCTGAATGAGATTTTATAATCCGCCCACCCCCCGCTTCTCTGTGATAAATGGGCTGCTCCGCATCGTGAACCATAACAAGCTCTTTTGAGGACTGAACTAACCCCAGAGAAATAGGGATGGGCCCACCACACAAACTCGCCTCCATTTAAAAGCCACCTAGAGGAGCCAGCTCCCATGCTAAGAGATAAAGCATGAATTACCCTTGGCTTCTGGCGAGACAGTTATTCCAGCACTACGCTCCCGTTGGAACTATTTTTTCCTTATAAAATTATATTCCCCCCCTCTAACCAAATGAAATGCTCCAAAGAGTGGCTCAGCCCACTGGTTTACTTGGACTCTACCATCCAATAGATGAGGAGGTAGACAGGTGAAGGGACTAGTCAACTAGAGCAAAAGCGGGGGGTAATCCCTAGAAATTTATCGATAGAGTTGAATGGTCCTTTGAGGATTTATTTATTGTAGGGCCCTTCTATATTTATAGGCGCCTTCATAGTAATTTATTTTAAATCGTGCCTGGTAGGATCCCCTCCCTTCTGACTGGATGGACCATGCAGATTGATGTAGGTTGGCAGCACGTGTAGTTGTTCACATCCCAGAAGGTGTTATGACCTTAGGGGAGGCATGGGGCCAGTTGCAAAGTAAGTCAGGCATGTAGTAAGCAGAGCACTGCTGGCTGGCAAAGGGGGGGCCTCAGGGGAGTTAGGACACTTGCCTTCTGTTCTCACCATTGGAGGTTTCTAGGAGAGCTCCTGGGGTTCTGGTTCTTGTGAAAAGTGGAGGTGGGGTGACTTGTACATAGAGTGGTTCAGAACCATAGTAATAAGCATGTTAGAAACCTATAGGAGGATATAAAAGATTTTTAAATTATTATTTACTTATTTATAGGGTAGTAGTGCCTGGGAGTCCCAGTCATGAACCAGGATGACAAGTGTTGTACAAGCAGAGTGAGAAAGATGGTCCTTGCCCTGAAGAGCCTGCAATCAAAGTAAATCCTTTTTCTTTTCTTTTGAAGAAGAGGGGTGGGGGAGGAAGAAAGGTGCACAGATTTGTCCATGGTTTACAGGAGAGGAACAATTTTGTTAATTTATGTTGGTGCCTGCATTTTCTTGCCTTTTCTTTCCAAACTATATTTATTGTGACTGTTTAAGCAATATCCTGATCTCTGAGCAGTTTATAAAACTCAGTACAAACTATTCCATACAAAAATTAAAACTGTACTGCACAGGTAAGCAATATGAAAACTAACCTCCATAACAACTACACAACTTTGTCCTGGTCCCATCAATCTGCTTGGTCCCAGTACCCTAAGAAAAATGGGTGGGTTTTGCCACAGGCCTAAAGGTTAACAAATCTGCATCCTACTGGACCAAGGGGCGAGCTGGTATCAGGTGACATCAGTGCTAGAAGACAGGGCCGTATCAATCTCATTTCTGCTGTGAGATGTATGCTGTTGGCTCAGATCTTCTCTGGATATTCAGAGTGTTGATTCTGTAGTCCAGAGACCTCGGAAGCTCCTTTCCTGGACCTTTAGCCTCTGACATCTCTCTGATGAATCTCCCCTCACGGGCTGTGCAAGTCTTTCCTTTAGGATAGAGCCCTTTGGTGAAGCACTTCAGGGTGCCAGGCTGCCTGTGAGATGGAAATCAGGTGGATTGAGCTCCAAACCTCCTCCTCCTCTAGGGCAGCGGTTCTCACATTTCATGGCACCAAGACCCCATTCTGACAACAAAAGTTACTATGTGACCTTGGGTGGGAACCAAAGCCTGAGCCTGCCCGAGCCCTGCTGCCCCAGGCAGTGGGGGCCAAAGTCTGAGCTCCACCACCCCATGCAGGGGGGCCAAAGCCCAAGGGCTTCAGCCCTTGGGGGGGCCTGTAACCCGAGTCCCGCCGTCCAGGGCTGAAGCCGAAGCCTGAGTCCGGCCGCCCAGGGCTGAAGACCTCAGGCTTTGGGCTCAGGCTTCGGCTTCGGCCCTGGGTGGTGGGGCTTGGGCTTTGGTCCCAGACCCCAGCAACTCTAATGCCAACCCTGGCGACCCCATTAAAAGGGGGTCCTGAACCACAGTTTGAGAACTGCTCCTCTAGGGGCTGCTTCCCATTCTACTCTTCTTCCCTTAGGAGTGAAAGTAGCCAGAGATTTTGCAGGGCTCTCTAGGAAATAACACAGGCATGAGCCCCGTCTGCCTCCAGGAACCCCTCTTTAGCAGAATCCACCAACTTCCATACAGCCTTGACCATCTCCGGCCTGTCTGTAATCTCCTTGTCTCCGGCTCTGGCAAAAAAAACAACAACAACCCTCTCTCCCACCATCACCTTGTGAATCTTCATGACCTCAGGTGCTTTCTACCTGGATTGTGTAACCATAAACTGGGGCCAAAGTGCAGTCATTCAAGTGGGAAGAGCCTGGGTTTGAAGACTCTCAGGCTGGGCTGAACGGTGGGGTCATGGGAGGCTAGGATGGGTGACGTTTGGGTTAGGGATAATGGTGCAGGAAGTGTTTTCCTTTCTCACGGGGACTCTGTTGCTTTCATGCACAGACCCTGCTGTGGCAGTTATTTAAATATAAACGTTATAAAAATGCCGTAATGTGCCTAGATTTAAATGAAATGAATGTGGTGTAGTGGCCTGGGTGTCAGGAGACCCGCATTCCAACTGCAGTTCTGCCGGAGACTTGCTGTGTGGCTGTGGGAGGGTGGTTTTACTTCTCTGTGCTTCTGTTTCTGCTCCCGTCTGTCTAGGTTGTAAGCTCTTTGGGACGGAGACTGGTTTTTACTTTGTGTGGACAGCACCCAGAATGGTAGGGCTCTGATTGGGGTTGGGGCCTCTAGGCCAATGCTAAATATGGCTGCTACCGTTTCAGAGGTCTGAGGGGAGTAAATGGGCACAAAGGTTAAACCTTCCATTCACCCTGGATGTAATTTTCTCTTGTGCAGAGGGTTAACACAGGGTCTGTGCATCTCTGTAGCCCTATATTGAGGACTTAGGTGGTACATAGGCATTGCGCTGGCTCTCTGCATAGGGATACAATTCCCTTGTATCTTGTACCTCTTGCCAGGAGTATCTGATTATTTGGGAGGCTGCAGGACTCTCTTATGTTCACCAGCAGATGGCAGCAGCCTTTCATTACAGGTGACATGAGGCTAGAACAAGGGCACCTTGGGAAAAGCTTAGAAGACAAAAGCGGACTCCCAGCTGGCACTTCTCATAGAGACAAGGTTTAACTGGGTTGCTCTGGCCCCAGCAATTTGGGTCAGATTTTAAGCAACGCTCAGCCCCCCATTTAGGAACCTCCGTGAATGGCCACCTTTTTGAAAGTGCATTCAGCAGTTCCCCTTGAGAACAATGGAAGCTACGGGGGGGCTGAGTGTTTTGTGAAAATCTGGTCCTGAAAGCGGCAGTGCTTTGGCCTGAACGAATTGAAGGTATGTAGCTGGACCAAGAGGCAGGTGGACATAAAGAGGGAGCATGGGGGTGAAGAAAGGGAGTTGATGAAGGGGACAAATCAGTGGAACACAAAATCACATTTTAACCAATCTATTTTCAAAGCAGGTGAGCACCCATAGCTCCCACTGACTTCATTTAGAGCTGTGAATGCCCAGTAATGCTGAAAATCCAGTCCCTGGGTCTGAGGACGAGAATCCAAGTTCAGAGACCACGTTTTTGAAAATGTGGTCTGCAGGCTCAGTACCTCCGTTTCCCCATCTATAAAATGGGAATAGTGAAACTTCCCCCCTTTGTAAAATGCTTTGAGGCTTATAGATGAAAAGCGCTATATGGGGTATTTTTCCCTCTACGGATCGTTTGAGAAGAAGTCACGTGACCCGATTTTCAGAGAACGCTGAGCACCTGCAGCTTGTATTGTGGCCGGTGGAACCTGCCTGCACTCAGGAGCTCTGAAAAGCAGGCCAGTGGTCCATAAGGGCCATTCTTTATACACCGGGATTATAGACAGACCCTGAAATTGATTTCTATCTACAGTAGATCTCTATGTAGAGTCTTGTGTAGTCTCCATCATATAAGCTCACAACAAAACAGCAACAAAAGAAACACTAAGCACTGAATGCATCCGATGAAGTGAGCTGTAGCTCACGAAAGCTTATACTTAAATAAATTTGTTAGTTTCTAAGGTGCCACAAGTACTCCTTTTCTTTAAGCACAGATGAAAACTTGGTTTCACTTCTCCAATGTCTCTCTCTCCTTTATATATGGTATATAATTTTCCCTAACAGAGGCATTCCTCCACATTTTATTGACCCTCCCAATCTCCCTTTGCAATGTGTTTCATCGATGGAAGTCACAAATAATTGGGAAGGTTTTCCCTTTCCGAGTGAGGCTGGAGCTGAACAAAAGGAGGTCACCCCGTCCAGGTCCCTTTGCCCTCTGTGGAATGGCAGGAATTTCTCCGTGCTCTCTAGTCTGGGGCAATAATGGCGTCAGCAGTGGGCTGATTGTTTTCATATCTAAAGCCTGTGCAAGTCTCCGGCTTAGAGCCTGTCAGCTGCAGGAGTATTAACCTTAGAACTGTCAGAGCTAATAAAAATCCTACACTGCCGGTGCGGCTGTGGAGTGTGGTGGGAGGTACCACCAGCTGTGGGATATAGTGTCTACAACAGTGGTAGAGTCCCCAAGTGTGCAGCTCCCCATTTATTTTATCCGTGTGCTCCCTATGGGTCCAAAACACTCGCCTTGACATCCTGGCCCCATTAAAGCCAATGGCAAAACTCCCATTGACTTCAGTGGGTCTGGGATTTCACCATGTGCATTTTGCTTTAATCTTGCTCCTCTGATAGGAGTTTATGCTGCCATTGAAATCACTGGTGAGTTCTGGGGGATCTTCTTGCTCCTAT